GGTGCCGCTTCTTGTGCTGCTGACGACGATGATGATGATGATGATGGTGGTGGTGGTGGTGGTGGTGGCGATGAAGCATTTGGGGGAAATCCATTACGTCCTGCGCAGCATCATAACCACCCGCAGAACATCTGAAAAAACTCATGGCTCATTTTCCTGGTTGGTGGTGTCCTCCCCTTTAAAGGCTTCAGTGAGTGCAGTTCTAATGACTCGATCCCGGAGTTGACAAGAATTCATCATATCAATATTAATACAAACCCCATCCGGTAATTTGGTTCAAATAAATGTCAGGGTTAGACATGCACAGTGCTGTGTTTTCAGACATCCTCCTTTGAAATGGTCAGATTTACTGACATCATCATCAATCATGCTGACACAATTTGCCCTATTATCATTTTCCTAACCACAGGATAAGTCCAGCTGTGTTGGACTGTCTGTCATTCATGATGAATGTCCTCACAAACCTCTGACCACAAGAGCCACATGTTCTCTATTAGATAAAAACTACACCTACGTATATCAGTAGACAATGTCATCCAAGAACATGTATGTTTGTTCAATGATGACTGCGCTGTGAGGTGGAGTGGACTGATCAGAAACATACAGTTCACCATGTGCTGTGTTGTAAGGTATTGATCACTGGGTGATTCTTTCATTAAAGCTTGGGTTTAATTTAGTGTTTGACTCCGTGGAACTCTTCATTAGTTTCACAGTTTAGTCTACACTCCAGGATAATGAGAGGGATGTAATGACAGCTTAAAGAAAAAAGAACAGAGCATGAGCTGCCCCCAGAGACATCACCAGACTTTTGCTGATATTACATCATCACAGCTTTTTAAGGAATGTCTATAAGGGCAGTGTTTTTATAATGCCCATTTCATCCCCTGTGGTACTGAGGACAGTGTTTAGGTTTTATACAAATATGGTGAATTTAACACATTTATTAAAGATGTAACTGAATTTGGTTATTTTTAATTTAATGAGTTAAAGTCAGGTATATTTTGATTAATGGTAGTTAGCCCTGATACTAAAACATGGTGTGCTGGCATTTCATTTTTTTATTTTTGAAAATAGCCACAGATCAAAAAAAGATCAGAATAGCTATAAGATAGAACAATAAAAAGTAAGTCATGAAATTAAAAAGTAGTTAGATTGAAATAATCCAATGAACAAACTCAAAGTTATGAAAATGTCTTAATAATAATAAATAATAATCCAAAGAACAAACTCAAAGTTATGAAAATGTCTTATAGTTGGAAGAAGCACAAACCTTCAAAACAAACACAAGACACCACATATATAAAACATGTTGAAACAGTTACAATAAGTGAAAATTGCTTAAATTACCTAACTGTAAGTCAACTAGCCAAAGTGAAATATGACAAAAATAGGATTTAACTGCCTCTGAAAGGCTCATTGAATATGCTCAGACATATTAATCAGACATATCATATGAACCTGTATTGTTTACACTCCGGTCCAGTAGGTGGCAATAATTGAATAGCACGAGACTGTCGTGATAAGACAAGGCAGAGATATTGTAAACAAAAATGGCCGACACCAGAGCCACAGATGAAACGAGCGATAACACAGGAGGTAATCATTCCTCAGGGGATGGAAACCCAGAGAGTCGTGAAGTGGAGAAGATACGGGATTTGAAAAGCGTCCTGGTGACTAGCGTTTTAAATCTAGAGGAGCTCGACGTCAACCTGTACAGGTACGTTTTAATTATGCGACGTTATCTTGTACAGGTATGTTGAACATTTTCTACTACACCGAGAACATAATGTGTTCAGAACTCTACTGTAAAAGCACCATTTTATGGTGTGAAATCGTTTTTAATTGGACACTGGTGTGTGAAGGGTTTTTAACTTGTTTTTTCACAGAGGGACACATCACTGGGTGCCCCGCTCTCGTCGGTTGTTTGGTGGGCAGATAGTTGGTCAGGCTCTTGTGGCTGCAGCAAAGTCTGTTGGTGATGACGTCTATGTTCACTCTCTGCACTGCTATTTTGTACGAGCAGGTTAGATGAACTCTCTTCAGTCTTGATAGATTATTAAGAGGGAATTTTCTCTTAAACCAAATATGTAGCAAATTTTTAAATAAATGATCTATGACCTGGCAACTTGATTTTTTCTTTTTAAGGAGATCCTACGGTTGCCGTTCTGTACCAAGTGGACCACATTAGAGATGGTCGAAGTTTCATGGTACGCTCTGTTCGAGCCATCCAGCATGGGCAGCCCATACTGATCTGCCAAGCGTCCTTCCACAAACTGCAGCCAAGTCCACTGCAGCACCAGTTCACCATGCCGATGGTGCCTCCTCCTGAGGATCTCCTCACTGAAGAGCAGCTCATTCACCTTTACCTCACGTAAAATACAACTTTTCTGTCTTTGTTATCAACAAAAGGATACAAACAACACAGTACTGCATTCAACACTTAACTCAAGAATGGTTCCGCTCTCACAAAACACACAAAAACTAATTGTCAAATACAGTATTAGTCCTTCCTAATTCATTGACACCTCAATGCTCGTAGGTCATGAACTTTAGCAGTTTGTTTATGAACCATAGATATTTCTCCTGCGTCCATCATTGATTTGACAGTGGTATCTGTCAGAAACATCAAGAGCCAATGCTATGATCGACAGAGAAACATTATTGTTTTGAGCTTATGAAAAGAAACTGGATGGTTTCTGTTGTTTATTTTCTTGATTAATCCGTTTAATCTAGACAATGACAACTATCTGTATTTTTTGCTTTCCAGTAAACCAAATGTCCCAGAGAAATTAAGACAGTTTCTTAACCAGCGTTTGGCCAATGAGGTCCCCATCGAGATTAAGCCAATCCAGCCTCAGCCGTCTTTGAGACGTCCTGCCACTGAGCCAAGGAAGCTGTTTTGGGTGCGAGCCCAAGGACACATAGGTAATAGGAGCTCACCTTTGTATTAAAGATTTTTGAGAGGTCTGATTTGATCATAGGAAATAGATGGCTGGAGCAAAACCAAAAAATAATCGTTTATATATATATATAATATAATTAATTACATATGCCCTGACAATTCATACATAAAACATAACATGTTTTCTTACCAGTAGTGAAAGTAAATGCTAATTTGAATGCATATAAAACACTAAGAGCTGGCTCTTGGTTGTGTGTATGCAGGTGAAGGCAACATGAAGCTGCACTGCTGTGTAGCTGCATATATATCAGACTATGCCTTTCTGGACACCGCAATGCTGAGTTTAGCAGATTACAAAGCCAAATTCTTTGCCTCTCTGGACCACTCCATGTGGTTCCACACCACATTCCGCAGTGACGAGTGGATGCTCTATGAGTGCGAAAGCCCCTGGGCAGGTAGGTGTCCATCACTTCTGCAGTGGTGAGTAACGAGTATGTAACTCTGCAAAATAGAATGTTATTGTAGCACATTAATTATACAAAAGAGTAAAATATAAAAATACGTACAGTTGGTTTGAGGTACTAGATTAGTGGTAGGTGCACAAATTCTAGTGCTGGTGGTACTACCCTTTGTTCTCTCCAACGAGATGTGAATGAGAGGTGAAACACCTCCTGAAAAAAAAAGCCAGTCCAGTTGCTCTGGATTTAAATACTTTAGATAAAATGACCAGGATGCCTGAGAACCTACACAGGTGGTTAACATCTAAGCTAGGCTGATGCTAACAGTAAATTGATTTAAACATATAATCCCATCAATATAAATTGTGATAAAAACAAAATCAGACCAGAGTAGGTGATAAAATGGAAACAAATCTGTATAAACTGCTTTATGTCGTGTCCTACAGCGAACAGCAGAGGACTGGTTCAAGGACGCATGTGGAGAAGGGACGGGGTGCTCGCTGTCTCCTGTTCCCAGGAGGGCGTCTTCAGAGTTCAACCTGTTAATCACAGAAACAAACTATAATCACATTTCCAATGTTTTATATTTTTAATTTATTTGTAATTGTGATTACATGTAATATCATTGACATGATTAATTTTGTTTTATTTTTACTCCCTTATATCATGGGTCACAGCAGTGGTTAATACCATGTGGAGTATTACAGTACACAGGGTTAGGTTTAATGTTGAATGCCTTTCATGACATAACCCTTCCTGATATTCAGGAGATGGGCGGAGAAGGAGGGTAAAATCTAGAACTTGTACATGTCCTTTAACTGGCACTTTAACTGTGTGATGTAGAAACATAAGAACAACATGATGTAAGTGTAATATATGTTTAATCTAAAAATTCATTCAAATCTAAAAATAAGATTTGAATGAGACCGCTAGTCTTTAAACAGCAGCAAAAAATACTTACACAAGATCCTGTCTATTCAAAACTGTTGCAGGAATCAATTTCACACATAATAAAGCTTTGAATCCATAAAGTGTTCTGTTGAATGTTTTGATTTTTCTTTCATACATATGGAGTTTGTTAAATGTGGACCATACATGTAAAGGATGAACAGTACCACATACATGTGCATATGGGAAATGTGTGCTGATCAACAAGTGTGGTTTGCTTTTCAGTAATAGTACTAGTTTGATGTCCCACAATAAGGGGAAATTCACAGTGTGAGTCTTTGCAACCCACACAGGCTGCTACACGAGAGGCGCCATTAATTATGTGGCTCCTCTGGGGCTAAAAGCACTCACATTTGTTTCAACACATCTATTTGTCTCCACGGCTAAACAGTGTTAGTTGATCGTGCTCTGGCCCCTTTTCATTGAATTTCACTTACGTCAAGTATGACTACACGAGTACAGAAACTGTAGATTAGACCATATTAGTCATTTTAAATGTTTTCAATCTATGACTGTGATCATAACAAAAAAAAAAACAAAAAAAAAATCACCCGCTTAATCGGAAGAATTATGGGTGCATACAAAACAGGAATGGGGTGTGAATAGTGCAAAGATATCCAAAAGTACCAGAACAAAGGATGAGCACGAAAAAAAAAATCCAATAACGCTACAAACAAATATTAAGAACAAAGTTCACGATACTAGTGAAGCACTCAGTGCCGCGCAGTATTATTCTGTCAAAAAGAACAGTCCTGCAACAGGAATTCCCTGTGAGGTTGTTCCCTTCAGTCGTGGAGACACCTCCCAGAACATACTGAGGAACATACTCTGCTCAGAACATCTAGTGGAACATAAAATCCAAAGAACACACACTTCACGGTGGCACGTGGCGTTGGTGTGTAATACAATTATATTAAACTCTGCCTCAGAAATCGGAAATCCTGTGGCGTTAGGAAGAACACAACACCAACTCTCGGATTGCGTCTGGTTGCTATGGGTAAGGGCCCTTGGTTACCGCGTTCTCCCACAATACTACATACAGCTAGCTCAAGCATCACGACACGCTAATAGTTTATGTTTAAACATAGTGTGACGTTCACCAAGGAACTCTACGCAGGAACTGACAATGACCATTTTGTTATGTCGTTTGTTTTGTAGGAAAATAGACTGATAGGAGGACAGCGGCTAACGGGTCCCGATGAAAGGTAAAGGCGACAGCTAAGCTAAACGGCTAATCGAACTACCCTGTGTTTACCATGTTGTTTTATACAGTAATGTTTGTCCAGTGAAGTAGAACATTTTAACAACAACAGAGTAACAAGTCTCATTTTTATCATAGCTAAATAAAAACTAACGTATATTTATTGACTTCTGTTACCATTGTATGTATGTACAGGTAATTCTGAGTTCAAACCTCTTTGTAGGTATCTGGATGCGAAACATTAAGTGTGGTTGTATTTAACATAAAACATGGAGAGGGAAAATTCGAACTTGGTCATTTTCAGTGCGTCAAAACGGGAACTTTTTACCTCCAACAATGGTTACAAGTCGATGCAGAAGAAACTACGCGCTCAATGGAAAGTCTTAAGGTAAGGTAACCGTTTGCTGTGCTTGTGTCCATGGCTTTTCAATCTTTTCTAAATACAAATTAAACCGTATCTTTAACAGCATGAAAGAGGAGCTCTCTGTAGAGAAGCTGAAAAGTGTCAAGTTGTGGATCACTGCAGGACCGAGGGAGAAGTTTACAGCATCAGAGGTGACCTGTGCACACAATACCACATTTTTACACCTCATAAATAAATATATACCGGTCAATTCAGGTTCTTTAGTTTTCCTAAGGTTTTATAAAGACAATGTACTTAAGTTTAAGTTTAAGTTTAGTTTCCTCTAATGTGCTGCCGGGTTAAATGCAGTGAATATTTGTACCGTTTTCTAGCATTATTCCAAAATTATATTTGAAAACAAATACAAACTGTGTATAAGATGTTTTTAAAACAGATTAATTTGCCATGATGACATTGAAAACACATTATTCCTAATAAAACAAAACAAAGGTCAGTTTTGTTGTTGTTTAACAGCAGTTTTCCATGATAACTACATTCATTTATTGTAAACTGTGTCCTGTGCAGCCCTCAACCTAACAAACCAAATGGTTCAGAGGAAGTGACAAGCTGTACCTGCTAGTTTTCACAGGCTTCTGTTGTTGACACTTCCTTGTCATCTCAGCTTGAGGTCCTGAAGCACTACCTGGATGGAGGAGGAAACATACTGGTCATGCTGGGTGAAGGAGGGGAAAACAAGTATGACACCAACATCAACTTTCTCCTGGAGGAGTTTGGGATAATGGTTAACAATGGTGTGTTATGAAACAGCAGAAATCAGAGTGTGTGTGTTTAGCATCTGCTGTTACAAAACACTGATTAGTGTCTTTTCTCTCCATCATTCCTGCAGATGCTGTTGTGAGGAATGTCTACTACAAATACTTTCATCCGAAAGAGGCCCTGGTGTCAAATGGTGTACTCAACAGGTTTGTTGGTGCTGCACTTCTAACAGACCACAATTTAGTTTGCGTCTTGCTTTTTCTGCCAACTTTTTTTTATAGTTTTTTGCCATATTTATTTAAAGAAAAGACAGGGTTTGAAATTGAAACATCAGTGTATTGACAACTCAAAGGTCTAGTTTACTTTTTGTTTTTTTAAAGAAAATCATCAGATTGACCTGTTAATATAATGTTTTATTTTTTTTCTAAACTTTAAATTTGTTTCCATTCACTTTCTACCTCTGTGTTGTCCAGAGAAATCAGCCGTGCTGCAGGCAAAGTGGTTACAGGGATCATTGAGGATGAAAACATTGGAAACAACGCACAGTAAGACATTCCATTCAAGTATAATATTTAGTCCTTGCTGAGGGTGTGGTTACTGAAAATCATATTTTGTGTGTGTGTGTGTGTGTTACAGAGCTTTGACATTTGTGTATCCCTATGGTGCCACACTGGGTGTTATGAAACCTGCAGTGGCCGTGCTGTCCACCGGCTCCGTCTGTTTCCCCCTCAACAGGCCGGTCTTGGCCTTCTATCAGGGAAAGGTCAGAAGTTCATTTAGTCTTCATGTCCATTCTCACCACTTGTGTGACATATCATTGATGACATTTTGTGAGATGCTGCTAAAACACAACCTTTTTATCAAACCTAGGAGTCTGGTAAACTTGCAGTGCTGGGTTCCTGCCACATGTTTAGTGACCAATACATAGACAAAGAGGAGAACAGTAAAATCATGGTAAGTCCTTTAAGCAATTAAATATAATTTGATATAAATACGCTATACTGTGAGTAACCACAAAAAAGCCATAGAATGAGAATATACTGTACATACACGGCCACTTCTTTATATACATTTAACTTTACTTTTAACTCACTGTGTGATTGGACCTCAGAACAATGATAAGGTAGATATTATAGGTGCAACAAGATTTAATTTAAGTAAATAAATAAAGACAAGTTAAGTAACAGTAAATAATGATACAGGTACAATGGCTATTGACTTGGGTTTTCTGAGTTTGTAAATGTATGTTTGGGTGTGTGATTGTTCATTTTTTAAGCAGCCCCAAGTTTAAAAACTGTGAACTATCCCTTTATTGTATTGTGCACTTCTGATTCAGAGAAAATCTCTCTCTCCCTCTTCAGGATGTGGTGCTGCAGTGGCTTATGTCAGAAACCATTCAACTGAACCAGATCGATGCAGAAGACCCAGAAGTGAGTATATACGCACAGCTGTGTGTGTGTGTGTGGGGGGGACATCATTATGAGAACCTGATGAACTGACATCCATCTGTTGTTGTTGTTTTCCCACCTGTAGATCACAGATTACACCATGTTACCAGACACGGGGTGTTTGTCGGAGCAGCTGAGAGTGTGTTTGCAGGAGGGCGATGAAAACCCCAGAGATTTCACCTCTCTTTTTGACATGTCCTTGTTCAATTTCTCAACTGACACTTTACCCCATGTCATCAGGTGACAACACAACACTGTGTTCAACAGTTATGTTTAAAACAATTATCGATCAATTGTAAAACTAAAGAAAACGTCTCTGCAGTGCTTACAAACAGCTGAATGTCAAAGATGAGCCACTACAGCTGATCACTCCACAGCTGGAGACCCCGCTGCCTCAGCTCCAGCCTGCTGTAAGGCTCAGTTCTACAGTACAGGTACAGCAGTAGTTTAGTGCTTTAGTAAGCAGCTACTTTGTGTTTCCTTCTAGGTTTTTCCACCAGCTTTAAGTGATTTACCGCCACCCATGCTGGATCTGTTTGATCTGGATGAAGCCTTCTCCTCAGAGGAAGTGCGTCTGGCACAACTCACTAATAAATGTAAGCTCTTTTATATTGGTTTTCTTTTTTTAATCCAGATATCTGTTGGTTTTTATGAAGGTGTTGATCTTTCACCAGGGTTTGGAAATTAAATGTTGTGGCATTTGTTTTCCCTCAATAAAGTTGCCACATTGATAAGATATGGCAACATCACAACGGTTGCTAAAATCTGTAGAAGTCACTCAAATTTAGAAGCAAAACATTTCTTTGTAATATGACTTTGTTTTACTCAGATTCAAATATTACCTTCAAAAAAAAAATCAAACCCAGGTTTGTGCTGCAGCTTGAAATCTTTTCAGACAATTGATTTTACTTGAATGCTTTTATATTTAATAACATTTATATTTGTATAGTAGTTTGTATTTTGATGCAAAGTTGAAGACATTTAAATGATCAGATCTTGCATACATTTTTTTACACATACTTATGTAACAATCAGTGGCAGTTTTACTTCAGTTTCTGATCTGCGCTTCTTTTCATCAGGTACGGACGATGATCTTGAATTTTATGTGCGAAAATGTGGCGAAATCTTTGGTGTGACTCCAAAGCTAGACAAAGATCAGCGAGATGCCAAACACATTCTGGAACACATTTTCTTTCAGGTTGTGGAGTTCAAGAAACTCAATCAGGTATGGATTACTGTTGAATCTTAGTAAAACAAATGCAGTGATTTGTATCTGAAACAAAACGTTTTTTCTTTTTGCAGGAGCATAACATTGACGTTGAAGCACAAGCTTTTCCTGCTGTGTAAAAGATCTCACTTACATGAAGTATATTTTAGTGAAAGGACTCTTTGTATTTAATTATGAACATTTATTTGTAAAAACTGAACAAACTTTATTTATATCATTATTGTAGACAGACAGCAGAAGTTTCTACTTACAAATCTGTTATTCAGGGGGAAAAAAAAGGTCCTCCAGTTGTGGATATTATACAGAGTTATATTTTATATTGAAGAAAAGCTTCTAAAATCGATATCATGCAGACTTGGTACCGGTTGGTTTAAATGTGCCACCATCATGGAGAAAGTTGTACGGATTGAGGCTTTGGACTCCATGTGGACTCCAGAACGCTGGAATCCACGTTGAGCTTGGGACTGTTCTCAGATTTAATCAGCGACACGTCCCACGACATTGGAGTTTGATTGATATCACCAAAGGACTGGTCAAAGCAAGCTGGCTTTTTCTGCTTTGGGAGGAACATGTAGGGAGTGGAAGACTTGATCTGCAGAGGAACTGCCAGGTGACAACTATCTTTCTCTGGGATGTTTAGTTTGCTCACTGAAGTTGCTTGAGAAGGTGAAGCTGCATCTGACGACAGGCAGAAGAAAGCTAGGTTCCTGGTTTCGGATCCGTCTCCGGCCGTCTCGTTGGATGCCTTGGATGTAGAAAGTTGATCCAGCGACAGTGCAGACAGCATACTTTGTTGTCCAAAAACAGGCTTGTCCAGCTCAGATGGAGATGAACACTCAAAGCTCTTCATACCTAAATAATAATATTAAGTGATTGTCTTTTTTAAAGAAATAATTGAGTCATTGCTCTGCAGAAAATATAAAACACTTTCTTACCAGCAATCAAAGGTGTCTCCATTTTTTTTTCCCATGAGCCTTTGAGTGTGACCTAAATTCCAGGTGCATCTTAAAGAGTTGACCAGGCTGGTTAATTAACTCAGCTGGTGAATGAGCAGGTCATCATTCTGAAGGAGGTGAGAACAATCATATGTATTATCAGGGATTCATATAACTTTATATTCATGTATTATTCTTGATATACATGTATAAGATATACACTTAAAAGATGAAATATTTAATGCCTTGGTTCTAAGAATGAAAATATACAGAATTAGATCACATTTCCCATAAAAGAAACAGATCATACAATTTTCATAAATACAGAACAATTTAAGTAAATATAGCAAATGTATTGTTTTTTGACTTAACAACATCATGCAATGTTTACTATTTCATAATTAGATAATATTTAGACATTTTAAATTAGCCTTAATATGCTTTTAAAACCCATCAACAGTAATTATAGCGGATGTTTCCTTTACAAAAATAATCATAAAGCAAAGCAGAACACCCATTCATAGAGAGTGTGATTGTAAACGAGTAATATAGTTGATGTCAAATAGCACTTGTTAAAGCATTGTGGTCAAGCTTTGTAAAACCTTTTTGTTTTTTATTTTATCCTTTATTTTGTGTAATTTAGGCTTGCTTTTATTAGTTGCGTTAACAAATAGTCGACAGGAATTGTCATTTTAATGTATTTTAAAGTTAAAGCATCATCGCCAACGCCCTTACGTTGTACTTTATTTTGAAAAGACTCATCGGAAGTAGGCCGGTGACGATAATGCGCACCTTTCTTGCGCACTAACGTCACTGCTAGTTTCCTGCGACGGAGAAGAGCGCGAGATAGAAATTCAGGAGCGCGCAGGGAGATCGCGGTAGCTGTACGAGTCGAGCCGTATGCAAGTTAAATACATCAACAACAGCAGCAGTACCCGGGCTCAGTTCGCGCTGCTGGACAAAATATATCGAATCAGGCAAAATAATCAAAAACCCGTGTAAATACTGCACATGACGTTTAACGGCAGCTGGACTTTTCAGCGTCAAACCGTCAACAACGGAAACAGAGGGAAATGTCCTGGTGGCCGCGCGGGTGAGACAATCCAAAATTTATGAACCTAATTTACTAAATAAATCACCTTATTAATTGAACGATGTATTTAATTATAACATGTGCAAATACGAATATGTGGACATATTGTATCTATATATATTTAAAGGCTTTCACCATGTCTTTACTCGTGAGTACTTCACGGACGCACCCTTTTTAACTTATTCTCTGTCAATAGATTTAGGTCATTCACATTAAATCGATGACAGGCTCAACTTACGTGTGATATATTTTATTTTATATAGAGACAAGGCTTAGGTAATTTTCTAACACGAAAGTCCAGTCGTCCTCGCCACACCACTCAAAGGGCGGGCCAATGGTCAGTTTCTGTACGTGTTTGTCGCCACAGACCGTGATACATTCACAGTTTGTGGGAAAATGTTCATGAGAACTCTATATTTTTAATAACACACTGCACACAATAAAAACATTTTTAACTCAGTTTAAAATGAAAAAGCTCACAGAGAATCGCCACTAGTTGGTTCCATTGCTTTATTTTAATAACAAACTATTTTTTTCTACACTTTGGTCTAGTGTACAATGATGTCCCAGTGCATTCGTTTTTGTGAATCACACGAGATCTTTTTAGATTTAATGCTCTATAGTCCGTAACATATGCTTTAACCATCTTTACACAGTTAACTTTAGCGGTGTTGGATCCTGTGACCCTCTGTGTTACTTTAATGATAGTGTTGTTTCAGTTTTATGTCTCTTACCTTTTTCAAACAAAGGCAATATATCAATATGCATGTAGGCTTCTTGTTTTACTTCATTAGACATAATGTTTTTATACAAAGGCTGCGTTGTCTTTGTAGTATTTTGAGAAATTACCTGTAAAGATCTTTTAAGGTATTTGCATCTTCTTATTGACTTTAACAGTGCAAATATTTTTTTAGGGAGGATGCAGAGGACACCTTGCTACAAGACACTGATTCTGATGTAGCTGAGCAAAGAGACACTGGAAGAGTTAAGGTGAAATGGACACAAGAAGAGGTGAGTGTCCCGACTTGTCCATACCCATAGTTCTGCGTGTTGTCTTTCTCTGTCCCTGACAAAGAATATAGTAGTTTGAATTCCGGACAGGGGAAGACCATGGTGAAATGATGGTGTTATTGGTCCTCCTTTAGAGGACGAATATCGCCCCAGATTTTGATTTTGTTTGATGTTTAAGAAGTACAGTTCTTGATTGCTAAACATCAGGTCTTGTTTATTCACAGGATGACAAGCTTAAAGATTTGGTTCAAAAACTGGGACCCACAGACTGGAAACTTATCGCCAGTCACATACCAGTCAGTGTGATCTCCTCTTGGCATTTTACCAAAAACCATTGTGTTCTGCTGCATCTGACCCCTGTTTTATTTTGCTTAGAATCACACAGAAAATCAGTGTCAGCACCGCTGGTTAAAGGTGTTGGATCCAGAGTTGGTCAAAGGTCCTTGGACTAAAGAGGAGGATGAGAGGGTAGGTAGTCGTCGTACAGGGTTAAATGTTATACATAGAATCAAACCCTCACCCGCGTATAAAACAACACATATTACCACCCTACGTAGTAACCTTGACTTACGTTGGGATTCCATTCCTACATAATTTGAATAATTTTGTTATACCTTCATCCTACGTAGGTTATAGAACTTGTGAATCGCTATGGTAACAAGCAGTGGGCCACTGTGGCCAAGCATCTGAAAGGAAGACTGGGGAAGCAGTGCAGAGAGCGCTGGCACAACCACCTCAATCCCAATGTGAAGAAGTCGTCGTGGACTGCTGAGGAAGATCTCATCATCTACAAAGCTCACCGTCTGCTTGGAAACCGTTGGGCTGAGATCGCTAAGCTGCTCCCTGGAAGGTAGACTCTCATTGTTGCTTTAGTTGGTTAGCTCATGGTTTTTACATCTATCCAGAACAGACAATATGATGATGAAATGAAGGTTGAAATTGAGCTGTATTATAATAAATTGACTCAATTTACCTAATAGTTTGCAAAAAAATGTAGATTCATGAATCCAAAATAATGTTTTGAATGGTTGATAAAACTCTACAAGTGCCTGTATAAAAAGCAGTTTGTACAAGTTTTTAAAAAATGGAGTGTAGCCTGGAAAAGCTGCACAAACTCTTATTTGCCTTTTTAATACACTGTCCTCTTTCCCACAGAACTGACAACGCAGTAAAGAACCACTGGAATTCCACCATTAAGCGCAAGTTGGAGATGGGCTTCTATGCAGGGGAGGATTTTAAACCAGAGGAGCTGGAGGAGATGTTGGCCCGTGTTGACAGATGTGTTCAGGTGATTCATATTATTGACTGGGCTGATTAAAAATGTAACATCCTACATTTGTGAACTACATAGGTACTAAAGGGTCAACATTAGAATGGCTGAAAGTGTGAAACCCCCATGTGTGGTCGCCTGAAGTGTCTAGTAACAACGCAGTATAACAAGCATGATCAAAAACTAATTCTAGAAAAGGAAAGTCAAAATGGGGTCACAAGCCAGAAAAAGTATAAAAAACAAAACTCGAGAGCTATTTTGAGTTAGAAATAATGTGGAAAATGACTAAAATATATTTTTATATCTAAATTTTCTCATTGCACAGGTGCCAAACAGTTCACAGGATGAAGCAGACCAAGACCCAGAGGATACAACCCAGTCTTCTGTAAGTGTTCAGTTGCAGTGATTTTTAAAGGAGGCAAACTGGATGAGGGAATGGCGTTTCATGTGTCCACTTCGCTAATGGGATATTAAGAAATCTGCTTCAATAAAAAGACTAATTGTAGGAATGTAACACATCTTCTACTACAAGATCTTATTAAAAATGTCAGCCATGAGAGGTGGAGGCTTTCTTGCCAAACACTAACCAGTTGCTATAAGCACATTATTTACAAATTAGCATATAATAGTATGTTTTAATACTCCTCTAGTCAAATGACCTCTCATCATAATCTTTGTCATACGTTCACCTGCAGATGTCGGATATCGTCGCCTCAAACCCTGTTGAATCACACCGCAGAGGAGCCGAACCGTCAAAGTGCTGCCTCCTCAAAGAATCTTCAGACATTAAGACTGAAACAGACAGTTCAGGAGAATTGTCCAGCTGCAGCTGGGGGGTGGACAACTCTGGCTTCCTGTCCCCTGCTGGCTCAGGACTGAAGGAGGTTTTAGACATGGTTGAAGGGGTAAGTTTAGTTTGGTTTAATCTGCCTACTCCAGTCTGTACTATTGATGTAAATATGTTGGGAGTTGTGTTTACGTGTTGCCTCACAGGTAAAACCTATCCTTCCTTTTCAGGACCTGGACGGCTGGTGCAATCTCGCAGCCTTTGACCTTCCTGAGGAAAATCCCAGCCCTGAGCGCCACCAGTTTCGTCTCGAGGGAAATGCTTTGCAGGAGTTGAGCAGAGGCAGCAAAGGGGAACTCATCCCCATTTCTTCGGGAGGGTTGACCCCGCCTTCCATACTGACCCGTCGAAGCCGGAGATGTACTGCCCTGTCTCCTGACGCTAATAAGTCCATGACCCCAAAGAGTACTCCTGTGAAAATCCTGCCCTTTTCTCCGTCTCAGGTATGTCTTTTTATTTGAGACCGTGTACTGTGACATTGTACCTTGTTTCAGTTGAAGCGCTGAGCTAACCCTGGGTTTTTTCAGTTTCTCAACATGTGGACCAAACAGGACACTCACGACCTGGAGAACCCGTCCTTAACGTCCACTCCTGTATGCAGCCAGAAGGTCATTGTCACCACACCGCTACAGCGAGAAAAGACGCCCCTGATTCAGAAGGAAAACTCTGTGTACGTATGCCATGTTTATTTAGATTAACTGTAGGGATGTAACACATCTTTTCGTACACGATATTGCAATATCTAGAACTCTTTCCTCTCCTTCAAACTTACTCTGTCTTATCTCTGTCTCCCTGCACTATGTCCGTGTGGTTCACATTTTAGATTTGTTACTCCCAATCACAAGTCGGAGTTCTGCCTGACTCCAAGAACACCTACACCGTTCAAAAATGCCATGGAGAAGTTCGGGCCTCTTCTTCCTCTGGTCAGTGTCTGATTTTTATTCATTTATTTTTAAAAACAGATTATTTTTATTACATTACTTTAATAATACTTTCTGTGTTGCTTTCTTAGCCCCAGACTCCGAACCTGGAGGAGGACATAAATGAGGTTATCCTAAAAGATGCTGGAATCAACTTGGTTACTGTAAACTCAACACCTGAGCAACAACGTAAAACAGGGGTAACTACTAATATTTGCTGTACTTGTATGCATCCAATTGGAAGATATTTCCCACATGAAAATGCATTGTAGTATAGATTTAAACGTGGAGAGCCATTTGAAATACTCTGGTAGCCAGAGGATGTATTTATGAAGTGAATAGACTAAAGTCGGTGGTATATATCGCACACCTGATACACCACCCTAATCCATTGGCATTTTTAAAATTATTTTTAAGAATGTCATCTTTCATTAATGTTTTACGTTTGTTGAACTGTTCCTTTTACTCCTACAATGTTTGTTTGTTCTACAAATTCACACCTCCCTGCACAAGCAGTACACTGAAAGACCTCCATTATTGCTTAACAAGTATCTATGAAGTAACAGCCTGCTGTGAAAACTCCTGTTGAAGGAGTCCCAACACCCACAAAGTTATTTGTCTACGCTGTCAAAGAATGCTTAAAAGTTGTTGTTAAACAGGCTTTTGTATTTGTGACTTAAAAAACATAATCAAATAAACCGTACTACAACTAAACACTTAACAAAGACTTGATGATATAACTTGATAAAAGCCAAGAAATGGCCTTAACTCATTTTAGTTTTAGTTTAAGCTTTTGAAATGATAAAATTGATTTCTCACCCTTATTAACTTACCGCCATCTTTTATATAATTGATAATTTAGTCTTGGATTGCATTTGGGTCGACACGAAAAAATACTGTCAATTCAAAAGAAGCACCTGGATTTACTGGAGCCCAAAAAACTTTAATGTAAGTTGGTCAACATCATTGCAAGCAGGGCGATGATTTAGTCTGTTATTTTACGTATATAAACATCCTCATCCTCCACGTTGTTAAGTAGTAGTATGACTGATGCCTCGTACTCAGATCGCTCTTGTTTTCATTACCAGCATCGTCCTCCTATGAGGAAAGTGCGGAAATCGTTGGCACTGGATGTCATGGACTGCCACGTGTCAAAGCGTAAATCACGCAAGACCGAAATGAAACACAACATCAAGGTAAACTAAAAAATAAAGTTGTTAAACTTTATTATGTCTGTCTGGCTTTTTGATTTGTTCTAATTTTGCTCTGCTGTTATTTTTGGCAACAGGAAGAAAATGTGATGGTTCCTCTGAACTCCTCATCATTTTGCAGTAAACGCCATGACAGTATTTTAGATCAGGGCTTCCTTCTGGGACCAAGTGACAGTGCTGTACTTCCCAGCACAGCACATCCACTTCCTGTGAGTATAATATTGAAGTTGTTCAGATCCATAAACAACTGCCAACAAATGTCATTTTCGCCTTCATCCATTACCATCCATTCACCTACTTTTATCTCATCTCATTTATTTAAAATAAGGTACAATCAAGGTTAATCATGACAAACACCTGGCTGACATTTGTTCAGTCTCCTGAATTGCTGCTCTTTTTTTGAGACTGTTATGTACAAAACTGGTCCTTTTTTAAAGAAATAATATAATTGTCGTAGAAGGAGAACTGTTCCCCCTATTTATTCTGATTCTACCATATGTTTTCTTCTCTTCTAGATGTCTAAGGAGTGGGAGACGGTTGTTTGTGGACAAACTAAAGACCAGCTCATAATGACAGAGAAAGCCAGACGCTACCTTCGCTCTTTGAATTCCCGTGCACCCAACCGAGCTTTGATCCTGTCCTAAGACTCTTAATCCACCATTATGTTTCACATGCACTGTGCAGTGTCGCTTTTGATGTCTGTAGCCACCATTTTAATACTAAATACAAAAGCCTCATAAAGACAATTAAAACCAGAGGGCAAGTAGTTCTGTCAATGGTTTTGCAAAACAAGTTTTTAATTCTCACGCTTGTGGGTTCAAACAAAGTTTGAAGTAAAACTCTGTTGTTGGAAAAGAACGAGTACAATTTGAAAATGAAAGAAATCAAGGCTGTATATCTTTGGTTCCTGAATAGACATGGTTGTACGATGCATAATGAGTCTGTAGGTTAACAGTTTTAAAGGTGCTCAGAATCTTAACTCTCAGGTTTGAACGTCATGTCTAGAATTGTATAATAATACATTGTATATTGGATTGTGATGTAAATTCATTCAAGTCTATTGATAAAACATTTAGATAGAGAACTCTCTTAACGGTGAAACTAGTTGTATGGCGCTTTGTTTAGCATACATTAAGATTTATAATGTACTGTATATTATCAGTAGCCCAGTCATGGTTTGAGAGTTTCAGAGTGAATTAAGCAAAACTTGTTCAAACATCAAATTAACCTTGTTCTTACTGAGAGATTAAGAAATGTACAGAGAAGATTAACAGATACTCTTAGGAATATGATTTTTAATGCATATTCATCAATTTATAAACAGTGATATAGTTGGTGCATGTTAGCTGTATCCACCTTTGATGGCAATAGTTAATATTACGTGACACTGTACATACTAAGTATTGTGTGTTTTTACACCATACAATACTTTGTCGAATGTTATAAAATAAATCTTATTTGCATTATAATTTTGGTCTTTTATTTTTATTAATGAAATAAAAGAAATGTGTATTCATTCATTCTGAAAAGGTATTTTCAGATTTATTTTCAATTTATTTGTATGCAAGTAATGAGTGATGGTTTGTCTATTCAACACTAACAGGCCGAACAATGAAATACTCTTGGCAGCAAATGGGCATAAAACTAAAAAGAGCCTGAGCTTTTGGACATATGTACAGTATATCTTCCTTCAGTTTATCAGTCTTATGTTCAACTAAATTGACTCATACCAAGTCATAAAAATTGAAAGATTATTATATTTCATTACATATACATTTTGTGGCATTTTTGTCTGGTGATGTATTGTGGAATTTATGTAAAATATCTTTCCTGGCTCAAAACACTGGCTTAATTTATCACAAAAGTGTAACTTTATATAGAGTGTGCTTTCTGACTTATCAGTCCAGCTTTGTCTCCTACAATACATTAGCTGATAAGCAGCTATAGTCTACAGCAAAAACAGGCAAAATATCATTTACATTTTTAATTTGGAAACAAATGTACAATTCTGTGAACCGACGCCTGACATGCACCTTTTGTGGAGTCAGAAAAAATATTACTTAGAAAAAAATATATACTACAATAAACAGTAAAAATATTTTCTTTCTTAGCTTTACTTTCAAAAATATAATCCACTGACATGTGGACGGTTTGTGACAATTAAAGATAGTTTGTTTCACGGATGTATAACACGTCCATGATTTTGATATGGTATTGTAACCAAACCCGGATATGACGTAATGGTGACAGGTCGCTCTCTGAGACATCGGAAGTAATCGTCCGTTTCGGTGACGCTGCATAAGACTGCAAGACATGGACCGGTCTAGTGAGTACATTCAAATGTTAATCAATAAAAACATACATTTTTATGCTTTATTAGTTGAAGGCGCGTTATATGCGCAGCGATTTAAGTGTCATTGTTAACCTAGCACAAAAAATTGCTCACTAAAATAAGCTATTTCCTGTTAACGTCTGCTGGCTCGTCTGTTAGCACTCACTAAGCCTGCGTTATCTCATTGAATGCAAAGTCGCCGATAGTGATGGTTTTTCTTCTTCTTTTTCATGTGCTAACGGTTGACTTATCGCCACTACCTCCACAGGGCTGTTGGGGACTCTTCTCCTGACTCTGGCCCTCGCCGGAGCACAGGCACTCACACCTTCACACCACCTATGTCTGGCTGATGTGGCCCGGCTACAGAATTTCCTCAGCCAGCAATTCACTGACCTGGAATCTGCCTACTACTCTGTTGTTGGTCTGAGTAAGCTTGGAACTACTGTTCCCGACCAGGATGTAAGAAATACTAATTCAATTCGCAAAGTTGACTACAAATAGCAGCTATGTGCATTTTCAGAAAATAACTTCATTTCTGGCAGTAGATGTTCCAACAAAAATGTATTGTTTCAAGTTCAGTAAGAAGCAGTATTTTTTACATCGACTTTTAACTTGAATATCTAAACCCTAATAAAACTTCCAACTCATGACTTAAATGCCTTTTTTTAATTTGAAGCCAATTATGCCTGTTTCAGTTCTGTTTTAGACACTAATGCCATTTTTTCTATATTTCTGTGTCTATAGGAGGTATGTCAGTTTGTCAAGGCTTATCTGGATCCAACGAGTGTAGAATCTCTATTTTTTGCTGCAGAGACCAGTCAAGCAATTTCAGGATGTGAGGTAAGAAATAATATCATGACAAGTAAACTCATCACACTCTTTTTAAAAAAAAAAATTGGTTACTGTATCTAAGGAATCTAGTTCCATTAAAGGGTTTTAATGTCTTTTTAGCATTTATTCCAATGCTAATTAAAAGGTTTTTACTGTGACTTCACTTTGAAAATCCAGAGGACCTTTTTTTTTCATTTCATTACTCACCTTTATGTTCTTGTATATCTGATTGTCTTGAATTTATGTAATATTTAAACAGTCAGCTGATTGTAGGAGGTAAAATGTTAAAGTAATATTTTTAAAATATAAAATAATCATTTTAATGTAATGGGACTTCATACCTTGCTCGATTAATCTGAGATTTGTATTTTCTTCATAGATCCCTGTGTCCAATGAAACTCGTGACATTTTGCTGGCAGCAGTCAGTGAAGATTCCACCATGAGCCAGATTCACCAAGCTGTGAGCGCCCTTAGCTCTCTCGGACTCCCTGTGGCTTCTCAGGAGGTAGTAGGTGCCCTGGCGGCTCGCATCAACAAAGAGGACAACGTCATGGCGTAGGTTTTGGTTACATTGGACTGTGAGTGCTTAATGATGAATTATTATTAAATAATCTCAAACCTGTAACCTTTTTTTTACAGCATCACGTTGGCTCTACAAACAGCAGCTCGTCTCTCTCAGCACGCAGAGATTGGAGGAATACTTGAAGAAATTGAGGTAAGTTTAATTTACTTCCAGAAGGTGGTGCTGTTATACAGTTTTTAAAATAAAAGCAATGTAGCGCTCTTAAAGGTTTGACTAGTGTCATAGTTTAAGTTTCAATACTTTTAAGTTAATTGTATCAATGACATTAAAGATATCTTTTGAAAGTGCAAATTAAACATTTTCACTAGTTAAATTTAGTTTAAGTGATACTTTTTTTTTTTTTCTTTCAGGACCTGACCTCGTTTGGATGACCTCGGTGGTCTTTACCTCCAGTTTGAAGAAGGACTTGAGGCCACTGCAATGTTTGTGACTGCTGCCTACTCTCTGTCAGATCATGTAGAGATTGAGCCCCCACTTAAGGAGGTACGACATCACCTAAGTGTTACATACATCATTTGTAAAAATACGCACTATTCTTTATGTGAAATTAATGCAACATGGTGTCTCTACAGGACCAAGTCATTCAGCTGGTGAACTCCATCTTCAGCAAAAAATCCTGGGACTCTTTGTCTGAGGCCTTCAGTGTAGCAAGTGCCGCTGCCGCTCTATCCACCAACCGCTTCCACGTGCCGGTCATTGTTACTGCTCAGGGTCCAGCGACTGTGTCTCACAGTCAGCCAACCCTGCAGGTGAAGAACATCATAGAGAATCCTAACACTATGTCATATCTCTCTGTGATTGTAAGGATCTGTAGTGAACTGTTTTTTTTTTCATTAACAGCTCCTGGTTACTGATGTCTTATCTCAGCCTTTGACGACAGCTAATGTGCTGGTAGAATCTGCAACTGCTGTGGCTTCCAAGAGTGTCATTCTGAGCCAAGCACCATTCACACTTAATGAGTACGTTACTATTCAACAGATCCAACTACCAGCGTGTATCCATTACTTAATTTGTGTAATTCATAGTCATTGTCTGGAATGTGAGCGACTTTTACCTACCATACAAGGTGTTATCTTTCTTTTCAAAAGCACTTTAATGTTGACTTTCCTTGTGTTTCTCTTTCTTACTTTTCAGCGGAGTCTTTGAATTAAACTTCATGTCCAGCCAGCCTGCAAGTGGATATTACCAGTTTTCCATTGCAGTGACTGGTGACACCCGGCTGGTAGCTAATCACGTTGAGGTAACTTTTCAAAGTATTTTAACATTTTATCATAGGCAAATGTCAATTGACATTTAAAAGCTAATCACAAATACAATGTGTACATATATATACATATGTATAGGCTTAAAATCCTAGTGGGAATAAAGTCACTACTAGGTGTACAAGCGGAACAGTCAGGCCTTTGCTGCTGTATTTTATATCAGCCTTGCAGGGAAATACCTTTTTTGGTGCTAAATAATGTGCACAACCAATATATTCGCTTCCTCACTCAAACGAATTGTTTCTTAGTGAGACTGGATGATATCAACTCTATGTTTCCATCGTCTGATTCATCCTAAAAATGCACTAAACACTTGTAAAGAAGCAGTAGTGGAGCAGTAGAAGTAATGTCTTAATGTGACATTCATGTGAATTTTCTGATTTGTAAAAACAAATACAAAAAACGTGACGTTAAACAAGTGAAGTTACTCACATTGACTTCTGGCCATTCTAACTCCTGAGGTGAATGTGTCTCCTTCTAGCTTAAAGTAAAGGTGTCCACTGAGGTGGCCATCACCAACATGGACCTCTCTGTGGTTGACAAGGACCAGAGCATTGGTACAAAGACCAACAGGTCAGAGAAGAAGATGTTTAATAGATGTACCACAATACCAACCAATGTGTAATTCCACTGTAATATTGTTTCCTCCCACAGAGTGGATTATCCTTCCAAGGCCAAGAGTCAATTCACTGCAGACAGCCACCAGAACTTTGCCATGTCCTTCCAGCTGGTTGACATCAACACTGGAGTGGAGCTTACTCCTCACCAGGTGTGTAACCCCAGGACGACGTAGTTATTTTTATGATCATGCTGCCATTGATATCTAATGATGTCATTAAAAAAAGTTTGGCTAAAACACAACTCCTGCCTCACAATTTTCCTTGTCTGTCACAGACCTTCGTCAGACTGCACAACCAGAAAACTGGCCAAGAGGTTGTGTTCGTGGCTGAGCCCGACAGCAAGAATCTCTACAAGTTTGAGTTGGACACAGCTGAGCGAAAATCTGAGTTTGATTCCATCTCTGGTACCTACTCCCTTTACCTCATTGTTGGAGATGCCACCTTGGAAAACCCCATTTTATGGAATGTGGTGAGTAAAAACAGAAACAAACTTTGAAACGTTTTTTATTTACATGATGTGGATTTTCTGGCCACTGACAAATCAAAATGATTCACCTTTCAGGCCACAGAAATCATGAATCACAAGACCGGTATATTTAAATCTAAAGCGCTTGATACTTTTGAGTTAGAGATAAGTACTGTATTTTCCAGACTACAAGTCACACTTTTTTTTCATCCTTTGGCAGAATTTACAACGTATACTCAGGTGCGGCTTATAAGTAATTTGTGAAAAATATAATAAAACTTTGTGATGTCCCAATGGGGTCACAAGCCAAAAAAGGTTAGATACCACTGTGCTACGAGGATCAGAGCAGAAACAATGCCACAACATTACTAGTAAAGTAGAGGAAGTTTCCATTAGGAGACATGTTCTCTCCAGAAACGTATTAGTTCCTAGTTCCTTTTCCTTTAAACCACCATAAGAAGACAACACTCAACTCTGAAGTTAATCTGTTATCCCTTTAAAGGCTGATGTCAATCTGAAGTTTTTGGATGAAGAAGCTCCTGCTACTATTCAACCCAAGACCCTCTATGTACCAAAACCAGAGATTCAGGTAATGTTGAAAAAAAACCCCCAGAGCTTTGATCCACTCCAGGCTCCTGTGCAGCTGTCAAACCTTCTACCTTCTCTTTGCAGCACTCATTCAGAGAACCAGAAAAGAAACCTCCCACATTTGTCTCCAACGCCTTCACTGCATTGGTCCTGTCACCCATTCTGCTCCTGCTCATCATAGTAAGAATGAACAGTTTTTTAAAATGTGATGTTTACTTCTTTTTTTTTTTTAACGTCATACGAACTACGTATGAACCACCATCTAATTAAAGAATACCTGACAAAAAAAATCTAATTACATCATTGTTATTATTCATACCTCTTGTAAACCTAGCCTTCAACCTCATTGTTGGTGATGTTGTTGTGGACACAGTGGTCTCTCTTCCCTTTCCCAGAAAAAAAACAAAAACTCTTCACACGCAGTGAATGAGGCTCCAGTTCAGCATCAATACCATTCATGTATCACTGTGAAATCACAAAGGCTGTGGAATATGTGGTCGCTCGCATCAGTGTCGCTGAGTAATAGTTATTGTTATAGAAGATCAGTCAATTGTACGAACAGTGCTCCATTTGATTAAACAAGCTGTAAACACTTTTCCACCTCTTTTGTTTGTTGCTCTCAAAGAGAATGAGAATCACGTTGTTGTTGTTGTTGTTCTTTCCTCTTCAGTGGTTGAAGCTGGGAGCAAACATTTCCAACATCAGCTTCTCCCCCAGCACCATTCTGTTCCATGTTGGACATGCAGGTTAGACCACTTACACTTTAATGTGGTGTTTGGTTATTTCACTGCTCTGTCACGGTTGTTATTTAACACGACGAGTGACGAGTACTTGATACATGTCATGTAATGCTGTGGGTTTGCATCAAAAAGATTTTAAATTTGAATAATTTAATTTAATATTTGAGCATAGAGACATGTTTTTCTTGATTTTTGAGAGTCTGAGGGAAAGTCAGCAGCTGTGGCTGTGACTCACATTATGGAGACAATTACAGCACTTGTCAAGTACTTGACCCACAATTACTGGCATTTGCATCAAAATGAATTTGCAAGAACTCATGCTACAACATGTAGCATTTTAGCTATAATTGTTTTTTTTAATTTTCACAGTCATTGTGAAAGTGACTCATTTATTATTATTATTGTTTAGTCATTTTATTAATTAATTTTGAAAAATAGTAAATTTTATGAAAAAAATTCACTTGCTGTAACTACTACCCTTTCTTTATTTCTGTCGTGAATACAATCCTTTCTCGTTCCAGCCCTCCTAGGCCTGATGTACGTCTACTGGACCCACCTCAACATGTTCCAGACCTTGAAGTACCTGGCAATTATTGGTGGCATAACTTTTCTAGCCGGAAACCGCATGCTGGCCCAGAAAGCAGTGAAAAGGTTGGTACACCTGTTGATGTTAAGTGTCTTTTATCCCTCGGAGTGGTCTCCTTTGAGGCCTCTCGGTGTAGTTCTCTCAAGGAGAAGTGGCTGTTCCATATCTGTAGCTCCTTCATTTGGTCCCCAGAGGATGAGCTTAGTGCCAGGCTCTGAGAAGCAAAGAGGTGTTGTGCCTACTTAAACCTGAAGCAAGAAGTTTTATAATATGAAACTTGAGTGGGAAATGTCTTCATGCCATTAATGTGTGCAGCCTCCACAGGCCAGTTTGAGTCATAAAAGCTCAATAAGACGGTTGGTAATTATTTGCTCTTCATCATTAAGATGGGCTGTTAAAAAAGTTAGTTCTTAGTGTTTGAAGTGTGGTTAAGTGAGGGTATTACGTAGCTGCAGAGATTCCCTCCTCACGACACCTGCTGAGTTTTAATTGCTGACTGACTCGACTGATGTCCTCATTAAATGCATGTTCTTCTTAGTTTCGTCCCAAAGTCCAAAGTGCAGGTGTGAACTAGAGTTTCCAGTTGGAAAAGACTGTTAGAGAGCAACATGTAGCAACAAATTAGCACATTGTACTTCCATTAGCCAAGAGTTAATCGTTTTATCAATTACTCACTTTACAATTTAAATTATCACCACCTTTATACCTTTTTTAATTTTGCATAAGTGCAATTCATTTTGACCCATTACAACAAGTAATTGAATTAATTGCAATTAAAATGTTAATCATTGCCCATCCCTATTACATATACTGTATATACACTTTTCTATCTACAACACTGATTCTGTGACAGCACCTCGACCACACAAGTCCATGACTTAAGGGCAAAAATGTTGTTAGTGATGTTGTCAAAGTTATCTTTGAGCCAGGACTACTTTTTTCTTTTCTCTTCTGCTCAACTCTGTCTCTTTTAACCCCTCAGTTTACTCCTTACTGTCTCTTTACTCCTCTTTCAGGATTGCTGCAGAGCAGAGTAGTAGGTTGGCAAAGTATAGGAGCCTGCGATAAGGCCCCCCTCCCCCATATTTATAACAAACGAGTTGATCTTGCATCCAGGCTGAAGTAAGGGCGTCTCTGTAGCCTGTAAAATCCACAGTGCATTTTCATAGTAGCTAGCAGTGGCATGGCTGCGTGGTTTCTGTTCACTCATTCAAATGTCCCAGTCTTCACATGTATGTGTCGCTCTGAGCTCTCCCCTGGTTTGCCCCTTCACCCACTTCACTGTGATCTAACATCCATCGTGGTTCTGGTACCGTCACCTGTGAGACTTACGTTGTGTGTTGTTGACCCACAGCTATGTTCAGATTGCCAGACTGAGATTGCATGTTTTTCTTTTTCTTTTTCTTTTTCTTTTTCTTTTTCTTTTTCTTTTTCTTTTTCTTTTTCTTTTTCTTTTTCTTTTTCTTTTTCTTTTTCTTTTTCTTTTTCTTTTTCTTTTTCTTTTTCTTTTTCTTTTTCTTTTTCTTTTTCTTTTTCTTTTTCTTTTTTTTTAAACCAGTGTCTTTAACAGTGCAGTCCTAATTTACTGGTGTGTCCATTTGTGCAGTGTTTTATTTCCTATTTTAATCTTCCCAGATGATCAAACACAATTATTAAATCCCCCTACAGGTTTCCAACAGTAATTTCATCTTTAGTTGTGTTAACTAGCAAATTGTCAAATGAGGGAAAAGTGGACCTAAAGGTCTCAATATATATTTTTAATGCTAAAATGTATAATATTAATAATATTCTTGCTAATTTTCTAGCTGATTATTGCTATGAGTATAATACTTTTAGTCAAATAATGGATAATATTTAGATATTTTCTAGCTATTTCTGCTTCTTTCTGCTATATTTAACAACCCCATCTGGCAGTTGACTGCTGTGAATGATGGGTAACAAACAACAAAATGAGAGACGCAACAGTTTACATTCACATGTGTGATTCACTCAACATAATCCAGTGTGCTCTTGGACTGAGGGATTTCATTTTAGTGACTGTAACACAATGACATTACTGCTCATGAATAGCCGGGGAAGTCTAATTCTGCTAGAATTATGATAGGCTTTCACCAACACATTCAGAAGTGCTTCAATGTCCCCTGTTCTGGCTCCAGGGATGAAACTAATGACGGTTCTGTCGTTTATTTAGCTAATCAGTGAGTTTGAACTTAAGAAAAGCACGGACACATTTCACTGTGTGAAGCTGAGTTCTCCTTTCAACATAATGTTCATAATAATGTCTGGATCATTTACCAGTAGGAGAGACGGACGATAGACGCACAGCTGACATTTTATAAAAGTAGATTTTTTTTTTCACCAGTAGAATTGAGTTCGTCATGAGAGCAGCGTGGGGGAAGTGGTTATTTCCCAAGTTCTTTCCACAGACCACAAGGTTTCAGCTTAAAGTCGTACACACACTTACAGCAGGTGAAATATCTCATTATAGTGATGCCCCCCCCTCACTCCTGCTCTTTCTCTCTCTCTCTCTCTCTGCCTCTCTGGTCTTAACATGTGATGAATATGTCTGGTAAACTGAACATAACCACAGTCACGACCCCTCAGACTTGGAGGTTTGTCCTTAAAGTAATGCTCCTCATTCTGCATGGTCCAACCCTTCACCTGATCCCTCACAGTCATTCAGGTCTTATTTTCCCTAATGTTCTCTTCTCTTTTTTACTCTTCCACAGAACGGAGAAAAAATAAATAAAAAAACAAGGGGAATTTTTGAAGATACTCGAAGATTTTTTTTTGGTTTTGGTGTTCCAGTGTCCACTCACTAGCTTAAAATATGCAGTTCATTTCTTGCCAAATGGAAGAAATTGAGACATTACAGTAACACTGTGGACTGTCATTCGTGCACTTCATTTCCTCTGAGATTTGACCCACGTTTTATCCCTGAGCTGAATTTTCTTCTTTGGTTTTTCCTGACGGAGTTTGTTTTTCTTTTTTTTCTACATTCCTCATTGATTTTACTGAGCTGAAAAGTCATTGGCAGCAGCACTGACTTGTGTACGTCCAACGATTGTGTCCCCTTTGATACATTTAAGTTTACTCCTCCCACCAGAATGAATCATTAAAATTAAGTCAAATGGTTTTGTGGATGTGATGTTTTTGTAACAAAGTGGAGGAAATAAAGAAAATGAGGGGAGACGTGTTTCTGTGTTGTTGTTCTGTACAAACTCAATACACTCACCAAGAAGATAACTAGCTAAAAGCACAAAGTTAGACAAGGACAGCTAAAATATAGTCGAAATAATAATAATTTAAAAAAAGTATAATTAAAGCTAACAAAGAAGGCTAACTAAACATAGATGGTCTTTGTCTGCAGTCTGCAACCAGGATGACTTTTAAAAAAAAACAAAACTCATTTATGTGTGTTAAATGTTGAAAGCTACTGAGTTTGCATATCTTGAGTTTTTAAAAGGTACATTTATAAAACTAATTCCTACAGAACGCCCACTCTACAAAAGCGTCTGGAGCCCCTTTGAGAACCACTTACCCAAGGTCACATTAACATGAGAACAAATGCACTACAAATAAACCAACGGATTAACCCAAGTTTTAAGGCTAAAGAGTCATGTTAAAACAGTGAAAAAAAAATTTTGTTTTTCAAAAAAATGTTTTATTAAATAGCAGCTCACATTAAAAACTGTTCAACTGCTACAGTTGTTCCCCAGGCCAAAGTTTGGGCCACCTGATATTTTATATCCCGTATGTAATAAATGAAAGAGTACATCAGAAACTGGGTGTGGTTTTCTCGACTGCTTTTAATGATCAACATTAATGCAACCATGTCCTCACTGTAAATGTGACAATGAATGAAGAACAGCTTGGAGTCAGCTGGAAACACAGTCTCAGAGCAGGAGTAATTCAACCTCAGCTCAGCAGCCTGTAGAAAAGAAAACATTCAACGTAAAGATAAACTAACATTATTTCAGCATGTCTTACATGAGGTTTTTTTGTACTGTCAGTCACCTGGGTCCAATCATGCTCCTCCCCGGGACACCTTTGACCCTGCGGTTGCTCTGGATGGAGGTCAGATCTTCTTTACAGGTGCCTTTGTAGATGTCAGACTGGCGCTTTATGTAGCCCTGCGTCTCCTCACTGTCACAGCACAACAGAAGTGTTTGTTGTTTTCTACCAGGAGTAGTTGGACAGACTGAGGCTTTGAGCTGTTATTGATCTTAAACAGTGACCATGATTTCTTTATCTTTGGTCTTTTTTCACATGTTTGAAACTCACACTCCTTGTAAGTGTAATTTACTACTTTTAATTAGGCTACAATTGAAGACCAGACTTTAAAATGTTTAGACAAGTATTCCATCATTTTGGAGCAAACCTAACTACTTATGTTATATTCTGTAATCTATGCAGTTATTTCTGAGATCCTTTTTAGTATTTTTGTTACTGTGCTATTTTTTGGTTACTTTAAAAACCTGTTCCTGTGACCATGCATATCATATCAGGCTGCTCTGTGTAAACAGCTGGTAGGTTAGTAACAGGACATCTTTAGGATGGGACGGCATCTTTACTCCACCTACCCTAGACGTTTGCCCATGATGGTCTGCAGGAACTTCCTGGCTGAGATCTGACCCAGGACTTTCCTGTAACTGTTTGTAAAGATGGCATCGGCGTGACGTCCAGAGCTAAAACCAGAAGACAGAGTACAAATGTCACTCTGGTACAGCACCAGTTTACAGTGACGTTTGTCAATCTCTCTCTCTCTCAAAGACAAACATGATTATATTCACAGACACTTCCTTAAGCAACACATTTAACTGGAACATTTAAAGCTAACGTAGACTTTGGACACAGATGACATTTGATTTGTGAAGGTTATGAAATATCAAAGTCTTAATTTCAAACTTTTTAGCTAATTATGCTACATTTTAGTTATATCTAAAAGCAATTCATTGCTAATCTTTCAGTTAATTTAATGTTACATATAGCTAGTATTACTGGTGTAATTTGACAATTTATATATTTTTTAAGTTTCACAACAAATAGACTCAGTGTGTTCACAGTGACATTTTAAATGTTGATTAAAAATAATAATTAAAAACCCCTTATGTACTGGGCACGCCATTAAAATATTCCCTAGGTAAATTAACATCAGTTTCAACAAAATGAATTCACTCTTCTCACAAATTTAAACATAATAAAAATATAGATTAGTAATAATGCTGTCTACCATACTGTATCCATATGTCATTACAGAGAAGAAGGGAGAATAAAAAGTTTTAGAATGAAATGGGAAAAAAAAAAAACATGTTCATGTCCTGACCGTAATGCAGCCTGTTGCCTGGCAAGACTCATATCGTCCCTCAGCTTCTCTGCTGGGTTATGAATAGAAGATGTCATCAGAATGGACGTGTCCCTCTGGCCGAACCTGGTAAAAATGTCCACATTAACAAAACATATGAAACCATCACAGGTCAAAGGGTGTGTTCGTTAGGACTGATAGGAAATGTTCTGCTGCGGTGATAGCAAATGCAGTGAAGGTACATGAACAAATGCTAATGTGACTAATCCACCCACCTTGACCTGTTTTAGCATAACAACAGATGAGGTTGAAGCTGTGACAAAGTAAGTAGTCGGTGACCGCTGACCTGAAGCTGAATTTTAGCCTCTGAAATTTGCATCACTCTGTTTGACCAGAAATGAGCATGTTAATTAGTTAATAATGAATTGTTTATTTTTATTCTGTTTTATTTTGCCTTTTTAATATAATTTTACATTTCTAATTACCTTTGTGTGTTTGATTTTATGTAACTGAATTATTTCTGCTCTGTTTTTTAGTAGTTGCTGACACGTGGGTTTCTGTAGTATAGTGGGGTAGTGATCATCATGTTCGCCTTACATGCGAAAGGTCTTCGATTCGAAACCTGGCAGAAACCGTGTCAATGTGTTTTCGTGGCAATGGTGTCCTGGTGGTTAAGGAAATGGACTTGTGACCAGTGGGTTGCAGGTTCAAAGACACCAGGTTCCACTGAGGTGCATTGAGCATGACATGGTTCCTACACACTGTTCCCTGGGCCGTCAGCCTGGGCTTGTGAACAATTCACACAGTGAAATGGTTAAATAACGAGGAGCTTTTTGTTGCAGCTACGGCTTGCTGTTTTCTTTTTTTGTGTCGTGATAAGCTCTCATTTTAGAATCGATATCTTCTTCAGGGCCGACTTTTTGTTTCTTTTTCAAATGTTTCAATCGTCTGTCTACTTTTAACAACAGCTGCGTTGTTCTAGAGCAGGGCTCTTCAACATTCATCAGAGCAACTAACGATAAACTGATGGAAAGGCGGAGCAGGGGTTATGGTCAGCGTTCACTGGTGCTGTGAGTGAAAACTCTGTCTGTTATTAATAGATTTGTGTACATTCTTGCTTCTATTCATGCATTTTAGTTTATTATGTTGTAAAAACCTTGGCTGACAGTCAGGTTTCCATCATGTGATGGTGACATGACATCTACACCAATACAATGGCTTTTGTCCATAGATTTCATTGCAAACATTTTTATTGTCTCTATACAGCGATGGAATGTGATAGCTGATCAAACAAGAGCAAATGAGTGAGGGAGGGAGAGTGAAAGGAGGAGAGAAAGTAAAGAGAAATAGAGAGAGGGAGACAGAGACAGCTGAGTGAAAGGACATTAGAGATGTAGAGGGTGAGGGAGAGTTTGAGAAGGATGAGATGAGAGTGTGGGGGAAAGGATGATGAGAGAGAAGAAGAAATGAACAGAAAGATAAAGACAGAGTGATGAAGACAACCAGAAGTCCTGGAGGGATAAAGAGAGAAGGAGGAAAAATAAAGAGAGAGAGATGGAATGGGGGACAGAGAGAGGAGAGAATGTGAGAGTGAATCAGAGAGAAAGAGAGGAAGGAAGGGGGAGGAAAGGGGAAGAATGATAGGGCAGAGATAAAAAGAGGGAAATAGAGAGGATTAGAAGGAGGGATGCAGAGGCACTCAATCAGATCCTTGTCTGTAAAACTAACCATTTCACCTTAACTCTAACTCATGATTCAACACTTACTTTAACTAAAGGTTTCTTGGTTTCCATTCTTCCATTAGTCCAAACTGTAGCAACAATAATTCCACAATGTAATTTTGTAGCTGTATGATTCATCAGATCTACCAACAAAACACCCCTCTAGTTGTAAACATATGACAAATATGCATTTATTTAAAAAAGTGTTTTAACAAACAGAAGACATTTCCTGTAAAAAGTCAGGTTAGAGCGTCAGACAGTGACGAGGAGAAGAAGAAGAAGAAGAACAGTGAAAGAGGGTGATGAAGACTCACCTAATGGACGGGTAGAGCGGGGAGCCTGATACAGACATGACCAGGCAACAACAGAGCAGCAGCGCAGCTTTGGCCATCATCGCAGCAAGTCCTGGACAGGAGTGGACAACTGCAGTCAGTGACATTAGCAGGACAAAACAGAAGATGTGCTGAAGCCACAGGTTCACCTCATACGGTCTGCAGAGAAGACTGAAGTTGGAGGAGGACAGATTAGTAGAGCTCAAATAAACAACCTCACAGCTTGAACTTTTCTACATACTGTATTTTCCAGGAGTTACCAGGATGTTGGTGATGTGATGACAGACTGTCAGTGCAGCTCCTCTCTTATTTAACGTCCACCACTGGCTTCATTCCCCACCGCATGGACAGACAGGAGCAGAGAGGCACAGGGACACTCCTGCAGGGTTCCACTGAGGTTATACTGAACCTGTAGCTCCTGTAGTCACTCCCACATCACATACATGCACGCAAGCACAGCACGGGCGCTCTCTCTCTCTCTCTCTCTCTTTCTCACACACATCATCATTGCCTCGCTCTCCCCCCCTCTCCGTCTTTTGGCCACTGACATCTCCACACATTTTTATGCCTGTGAACTATTTACTGTACATTTTTATTTAGAACATCTGAGATGGAGACTTCACACCATGTGACAGATTTTAACTATATGTCATTTGTAATATTCTCAGGCCGTAACTGATGTCTTTTTCCATCGATGTGTGTATAAAAGTGTGTTCTTCATTTACTCCGGTTATCTTTCACACATACATGGATTGTTATATATATATTATTATATAATATTATTATATTAGGATAATTAGGCATACAAGTGACATATAATAGTAAGAACACCGTATGTGACCATGGGTGTGAACGTGAGTTTAAATGGTTGTTTGTTTTTTATACAATTGGTAGGCTGATGAACTGTCCATTTCAACTCTAGGTAAAACGGATTGGTTGGTTGGAACAGTTGAAAAATCTAGTTAATGAAAAAATGATAAATACATCTTGACATTAAAAAGATCATGAAAGATATTTTTTATCATTTTTTATGTTTACAAACATATTTTGTTGATTCATGGCTCGTGGATGGACTAATGTAAGCAAAGGTTTACAGAATGTATTTGTTTCAGTTGGTGCTCTGCTGTATATTGAAGATTCAATTTTACTGTATAACTGCAGGTTGTCGTTTTGATTGCGTTTACAAAAGGAGTTCAAACCCCTTTGAGTTTGGATTTGAAGCCCTCAGAATCTAACAAATACTCTCTGCAATCTACTTTTAGCTCATGTGTCATACTTTTTGTCCAACAAAGTCTGCCGGTCAGAAAGGCAGCGCCTTTTAACACCGGAACCGTATTCTTTGACTCTTTTTAGACCGAGCGAGAAGAGTGACGTACCAGATGGGGGCAACTTTAGGTGACGGACCAGCCGCATTACGCTAAAATGTTACCGGTACAACATATTTAAAATATATACTTCTTATGTAGCTATGGCGAATTGTATTTTTCAGTTAAACTTTAAGTTTGAATCTCAGGAACAACCCTAAGTTGGTGAAAAATATTAACCATAATTACACGTGACCTAGTGTTTGTGACATTTAGCCAACGTAGCTGTCACAGACAGCGAACCTGGAAGGTACACATGTACTGCCCGTGATAACGTCGTCATAACACATTTCGTGCTGCAGGCATGGAGCACCTCAGGGCTTTTAATGTTCTGTTTACTGTTTCCCAACAATGGAGAGCCGTTAGGTTTATCCAGCTGAGACACAGTTCGAATTTGAGGAACAGCGCAGACAAAAGTAAAAGAAGAAATGTGGACAGATTCAGGACTCAGCTGTCATCTGGTCCAAGTTTTCCGGATTTCATCAAAGGTATTTCTAGCCCTAAAGAATATGTTCCCCAGGAAGAGCATTCGGAGACGGCTGGGTACTTTAGTGAGGACATGGACATTGGAAACTCAAGGAAAGGTTAGTTTGTTGGGCTATATATTACCTCTAGTCTGACGATTGTATTTATTAAAATAAATATGAAAAATGAAAAAATTGAAGCAAAAAAATTATAATGCAATCTTTAGGAACACTAGTCCTTCACTTCATGTTCCCCGTTGATTTCTTTTCCTTTTTTTTTCTTCATGACTGATAATGACCACATTATCATTAACATTCACTTTACACATTTGATATAAAGGTTTGTTCAGGCATTTTATAACTGCATCGCAGAGCTTTCATGTGAGTTTGGTTTTGCTGATAAACTTTGATCTGCTGTATTTTTGATGCAGTCTACTTTGAGACCTATGGCTGCCAGATGAACGTGAATGACACTGACATTGCCTGGTCCATCCTACAGAGGAGGGGATACAAACGCACGACTAACTTAAATGAGGTTCGGCGCTGCTCCATCCAAATCTTTCTTTTCAAGTGTGAACGGCACAGTTTATTTAAGCTGTTTCTACTTGCAGGCAGATGTTGTTCTTCTGGTGACTTGCTCTATAAGGTAAGACGAAAGACTGTTGAGCTGTTACTGTAAAGTTGCAAATGACACTAATTTGGCATCAACTACATTTTTACCCACAGTTCATGTTTTATTGAGATGTAGGATGAACAAACAAACAAACAGCTAAAACATAATCTCTGAGCCAGTGTTTTCCAACATTGGGGTTGCAATGCAATTGGAATTAAAATGGGGTCACCTGGAATGTCTAGTATTGATAAAAGAAATTACTAATAAAAAATATTATTTTTATCATTTATTACCATGAACTCTTCTCTTGACAGAGAAAAAGCAGAACAAACTATTTGGAATCGACTACAGCAGCTTACAGCTATGAAAAGGAAGCGTTTAAATACCAGCTGGCCAATGAAAATTGGGATTTTAGGTGAGTTTCTGGCCTTATGAACCATACAGTGGTGATTTGTTGAACAGCTGGAAAACACAAAGCTGTTCCCAACGCTTGTTCTTATGCAGGTTGCATGGCAGAGAGGTTGAAGACAGAGCTGTTGGAGCGAGAGAAGCTGGTGGATGTTCTCGCTGGTCCAGATGCTTACAGGGACCTTCCTCGTCTGCTGACAGTAGCAGACTTTGGTCAGCAGGCCAGCAATGTACTGCTGTCTTTAGAGGAGACCTATGCTGACATCATGCCGGTCCATCATACCACGCAAGGAATCAGCACTTTTGTGTGAGTGTGTGGAAATAGTTGGTCTCAATTAACACCATTTGGTGTTTAACAGTGCGGGCCATGTGGCCCCTGACTGAAACTAGTGTATCTTTGTCCACAGGTCCATCATGAGAGGCTGTGACAACATGTGCAGTTACTGCATCGTTCCCTTCACTCGAGGTCGAGAGAGGAGTCGACCCGTCAGCTCCATCGTGAAGGAAGTCCAACTGCTGTCTGACCAGGTAAGTTCAAGTATTTTTCAAAAGTTTAAGGTGGGTACATACATTTACTGTACATGTAGAGACCCCCTATTAAACTTATTCCATTCATCCTTGACCGATATTCAGCACTGGTTGAACAACACTGTCACGGTCTCTTATTCTTATATATTAATAAACTATAATACTTTAATACTTAGAATATCAATACAGTATCATGAAACTAAATATCGCAATATTTTATATTGATATTTTTCACCCCTTCTTGTTAAATACTGGTAATGGTAAAATGCAACACACTTTGTACAATATACTACCAATTTAAGGAGAAATAGATAGCTATTACCTACGTATATATCTAAACTTAAACTTAAACTTAAACTTAAACTTGTCTTTATTTGTCATTTGTGACATAGCACAGAACAGCACACCATGCACATGACCTAGCAATGACCTATCTAGCAATGACCTTACTCCACAGGCAACTATAACTGGATTCAAAGGTTTATGGTTTGTCTTCAGGGTGTGAAGGAGGTGACGTTGCTGGGTCAGAACGTGAACAGCTACAGAGACACATCAGAGGAACAGTTCTGTGGTCCCGACCTGACTGCACTCAGCCGTGGTTTTAAGACAGTTTACCGCCCAAAGCAGGGAGGCCTGCGCTTCTCAGACCTCCTGGACCGAGTGTCACACATCGATCCTAACATGAGGATCAGGTTCACCTCCCCCCATCCTAAAGACTTTCCTGACGAGGTTGGTTTTATCATTTCTGTCCCAACAACACCACATATTTAACAACTGCTACTTAACTGTAGAATGTTACCTTGCATGTACAGTGGAACCTCAATTGTCTGCCTTAATTCCACTGCTACAGGTTCCACTGTATTGGTAAATGACTTTACACCAGCGTTCCAAAGACTGCTGACTTAAGTTTCTTCTGTTTGAAGGTTTTGCAGCTGATTGCAGAGCGAGGTAATATTTGCAAACAGCTTCATCTTCCAGCTCAGAGTGGGAGTGATCGGATCCTAAAAGCAATGCGCCGTGGGTAATGAACACACTTTTTTTTTTTACTCTAGGGTGAGACACAATTCAGGGTCTATTGAAATGTGACTGACAGTTCTAATAAATTATCATTTTTCTTTCAAAATAAAACAGCTACACACGAGAGGCTTACCTTCATCTTGTAGAAAACATAAAGACGATCATCCCAGGTGAGTACTGTTCAATTAATTATATAAATATGCTAACTCTGCAGACAAAAAGCATTAAGTTAAGGCTTGTAATTAATAAATCACAATGAACCCCACAAAGCGGTCCCTTTTGTGCCGCCACCCCCTCCAGAAAGGCTGGAGTGTTCCGTCCAGTACTTATTACCATCTTCACCACAACGTAATTGATTGCAGTTGAGAGAGTATCCCCTCCCCCAGTCCTTTGTCACCCCCCACTTTTTTTCCATTTTCTTTCAGTACTCGGTATCTTCCACTTTCCCTCTCGCAATAGCGTCAGTGTGTCAGCTGGGCTAGGAACCAGGGAGACATTGTCGGGCTTAGCCTTATTGAATGATGTGCGGCAGTGCTTGAAGTGCTTACTCATAAGATTGACCTACAGTAGTAGAAACTCTTTGACCAGTTCATACCTAAATAACTGCACTGTGGCCCTCCTCATGCACCCATCTTGGAAAGATCTCCCATCCACGCGCTGTTCTGTGGGTCTGTAGAACAAGCCATAAAGAATAGGAAATGCGGTTGAAGGAATTAAGTAAGGAAAATTATTCCTTTTTGTGACCTATTTTAAAGTTCTGTAATCTTACCCAACAGCCTGGGGAACATGACCACTGCAAGTGGCACTGCATGGCACCGTGCCCACACACTGCTCCCCGGGCACTTAAAGCTGCCCACTGTTCACTTTGGTGATGGGTTAAAAGCAGAGGTCACATTTGGTTGTGTGCAGTGGTGAGCTGTGTCACAATGACAAGGAGTTCACAAAAAAGAAAAACCAACCTGTCGACGATTACCACATCATCTCTTTCACATAGAACAAAAGCTCTGATCTAGAACACAGGTAGATTTACTGAGTCTGAGCTCATCTGAGATGGACTGACGCAGAGTAGAAGTGTGCTTTGGTGTAATTAGCCCACATTAAACTGTCCATGGGAATCAAGAACATGGTGAGCTTGGGGTTAAAAAAGGCTAAAAAAAGTATGAAGCACAGTCCATTAGTACAGTAGTCATTATTGAAATCCTACATTCTTATTCTTACATTTTTATCTTATCTCGTCCACGTGTGTATTCAGATGAATATAGGCTGTGAACAATTTGTAATTTTTTTTATTTTTTATTTTTTTACTTTTTGCACACACACGTATATCTATATATGAATTTGTATTTTGTATATGTGTGTGTATTTTAGAGGTGAGCCTCAGCAGTGACTTCATCTCAGGCTTCTGTGGGGAGACAGAGGAGGACCACCAGCTGACTGTGTCTCTGATCAGAGAGGTGGGCTACAACGTTGGATTCCTCTTTGCCTACAGTATGAGAAAGGTGAGCTCTGGTAGGAAACAAAGCTTTTTCTAAAAATAAAGATCCTTGATGTTTACTTTACAACATGATCACTGTCGTCTCCTCCAGAAAACCCACGCCTACCACCGGTTAGAGGATGACGTGCCGGCAGAGGTAAAGCAGCAGCGGCTGGAGGAGTGCATCAATGTGTTCAGAGAGGAGGCTGCAAGAGTGAACTCTGAGCTCATTGGCAGCACACAGCTCATCCTGGTGGAGGGAGTAAGTACTGCATCCTGAAGTCCGCCACTGTAGCCAAATGAATGGAATATCTAAATTAATTAAATGTTTAATTTGAATTCACTTATAGTCTTAGACTGGTGTTTTTCAAACTATGGTTCATGACCCCATGTAGGGTCGGCTGGAATTCAAATAGGGTCACCAAACATCTCTAGCAATAAATAAATAAAAATTACTGTTTTTTTTAAAATTCATTATTCATCATTTTAAAATTATAATTAATAACGCCACACACAACCTTAAACACCTCTATCACTTTCATGAATATACTGTTAGTAAAGTAAAATGAAATAAAGCATATTTTGTAAACTTTTGTAAAACTCAGTAGGAAAATAGAAAATAAAACTTGTCACTTAAATTAACAAAGTAATTCTTAACAAGATTTATTCAGATTTGAATGATGTTGTTTTTTTCCCTTCTTCTACTGTGATGCAGGAAAGTAAAAGATCTGCTGAGGATCTGTGTGGAAGGACTGATGGGAATGTTAAAGTCATTTTTCCCAAAGAAGACGTTGCAGTTCAACTTTCAGAGTCCAACACTGCGCCTGTCACTGCTGGAGACTACGTGTTAGTAGAGGTTGGTCAAAAATATTTACACTCAACCAAAGTTTAGTCCCAAGGTTGATGTCAAACACAAATTACCTTCAAATGGTTTCAATTGAACTTAATTGTTAACCAATTAATGAATTATTTCATCTTTGAGTTTGAATTTCCTTCTGAACAAAATTTCCCCTTTAAACAACGCCAAACATAGCATATTTATCAAACTGATGACCACACCTGCATCTCCAGTACATACGATTTCACAGAACTGACTTTTTCCCTCCTTAATCTAGATATTGTCAGCAAACTCTCAGAGCCTCAGAGGTCGAGCCATAAGTCACAGCTCCCTGAAAAAACCAGAGAAAAATCAGGTGGGTACCAAGTCGATGCAGCTGATGCAAACGTGACAGGAACCTGTGGAGATTTGTTAGAGTCTCGTTGAACTGAGCCACAGTGTGGTCAGCGCTGCAAACACTTTCTGTTCTATAATTGTGTGATATATTTGAACATTTTTAATTAAAAATACTGTGCTCCAGTCTATAGGATGTTTTTTTATTGATTTGGTGGAGATTCTTCAAACTGACTCAAGAGTTTTTGGATCAGCACATTTTGTACAACTGCTACTGATTCAGAAATAATTTGTCATCTGCTCCCTGTTCTGGGATCTGTTTTGGAAGAACGTTTTATTTATCATTCTATATTTGTCATGAATCAAACTAACTCCAGCTCAGTTCCATGTGGCTTACAGGAAGCTTGAAAATATACAGTATTAATATAAAATATAAAGTCAACGTTAACTGCTGTTTAGATGAGAAAATCATTAAAAAGTTTGAGATGTAAATGCAGTGTCTGCATTGTTGTTGTAGTTGTTTCTCCATGAATACTGGCTCCACTGCAGAGACAGTTGTAGTTGGGAAGAATGTAGTTTAACCTGTAAACTGCACATCTGTCCCGACCAACATGTAGTCCTGGCGGAAATAAAGACAGAGCAACAGCAGAAGTTAAAATATTGAAACCAGTTCTTCAGTCAGATAATAAAAACACTTCTAACCACACATCTCTAACCTTTAGGACTTGAACCTGGGTGTTGACAAGCTTCATCTTTCCAATGGCAGGGAGGGGGTATCCCTGTGACAGCTTCACTGTGAAGGGAAAACAGCAGCAAAAACAGAGATTTCACAGCACAGAACACAGGAGGTATAGATCACTAACTCACAGTGTTCCTAAATAAAGCATTAATTATCTGTGAAATAAGAAACTAAAAGTATTGGCCCTGAAGTCTGTGTTGATCTGCTGGGCATGCTGTGACCTGATGACCTGCCCTGACCTGACCTGTCCTGACAGTACAGTCCAAGAACAGCCTGATTACTCACCGTTGAGTTTAGGTATCACTACCACTTTGAGGACCAATTGCAGAATGTTGTCCAGAGATCTGACCTGCAGGTCAGAGTCAGTGTTAGTTTGTAAAAGTGGTGCTGATGGCGTTCACTTCACTGAGGTTTATTCCACATCTCACCTGAAAGTCTCCGATGTAACTGGTTCTCAGGGTCAGATCCATTCTGTGCAAATGAGACAAAATGAGACTGTGATGTTCTTTTCTGCAGGAACCTTTTAGCCCTTGTTTTTTCCTGAGTTTTTTTTTCCCAGTGACTCACTCGTTGAGGGTGACGGCTCCAGCCAGCCTCATTTCACTGACGAACATTTTCCCGCTGACACTAGTGTTCTGCAATGGAAATGAACTTAGACCAGTTTTGTGCTGTTATGAATTTTATTATTTTTACCATGATGCTGTGTAAACCCACCAAGTTAAGGACAAAGAGGGGAGTCAGTGTGGTGTTGGGCTGGATGGCATAAGCAGTGACAGTAGCACTGGCCTGAATGGTCACGTTGTTGGGTTGAAAGCTGATGTTTGGAGTTTTTATCGTCTGTAGCAGGAGTTTCATCATCAGGCCAGGGTAACGTTTGGCAATCTGACAAAAAAACCCACAATGTAAAAAAACAAAAACAAAAAAACAGTGGTACATGCTTGGTGCGGAAAAAACATAAAATAGTGTGATGTACTTTTAAGACGCATTGTGAATAATTAAGTCCGGAGCCCATTAGAGAGATGCAACATTAAACTAAGTGAATAACGCTGTCACTAAAGCGTGTTCCATGTCACCTGAGGGATGAAGGTTCCAAATGTCTTGGTGTTAAGTCTGATGGGTGAACTCTGTGGGATCTGTGGAGAGAGAGATGGAGAGACAGAGAGATAGAGTGAAGGTGTAACAGCACCACACAGGCAGATCTCCTCAGAATCAGAGTGTGAGGCTCACCATGTCATCAGTGATGTACAGACTCAGGGCTCCGGCGCTGTTGTAGGCGAAGGCTGCAGTGTTTGGTGTGTAGGCAGATATGCCAAAGTACAACATGTTGTTTGCCTGGGGTGGTAGGAAGAAGGCAACAGGGGAAAACGGAGCCTCCTGATGCTTCCCAATGCTGTAAAACTCACCCTAATTTGAAAAAAGACAGAATCAAAGACAAGGTGTGGAAATGTAGGATTCTTAGATTTTACATCATCAAGTTTAAAAAAAAAAACAAACCTTCAAGCTTAAGTCGATGGAAGACTCTGAAACCGTAGGTGACGTCACCATTGAATATTCAATTTCTGTGTACTTGTCCACCTTGGCTATGACTGCAGAGAGGCAGAAAGTCAATCAATTAAATTATTTATTTTAGAATTATATTCACAGGCAGCTCTGAGTCAGCTCTGAGTTTAAATTGGTAAACCTTTACGTTTGAGACAAATTTTTGTTCAACCAAACTGTATAAACAGTATCCGGTTACGTAAAAACACAATTCGTAAAGATGATAACTTTTAATGAACCAGAAAACATTTAATGTTTGAAAATGGTAGCCATAACAAAGGTTTTGTGTTTCTGCTACATTTGACATTTAACACAAACGAAACACTATTAAAAAACAAACATAAATATGCCATAGATTGAGCCAAAAGAATAAAAATAATAATAAAATGCAACAGAACAGAGAACTTTGCAAAAAAGAAAAAATAGAAATTACCAAAATGTTAAAAAGACAAAAAAAGTAGCAACTGCTAAATAATAGAAAGAAATTGCTAAATATTAGTTTCAAAAGAACCAAATTCTGCAGTGACCATGAAAAGGAGGAAGAGAAAGAAGATAAATGAATGTTTTACCATTTAGTGTTTTTAAATGAGGGTTCATGTCAGATACTGCATCAGCCACCAGAGGGCAGATCTGCAAGGGGAGAAATAGAATACACAGCAGTTGCAGTACATGAGAGTTTGTACACTATCCTTAGAATTTAACTAGTTTGTCTCACAAAGAGTCGACTTCTGAATCTGATTTTGGATGAATTTCAACAATTTTTGAATTTTAACATTTTTATAAATCTTTAAATCTTTTATTGTAATAATGGGTGTAAAAAGTAGTCAGAATTTAAAAAAAAAATTTTTTTTATAGAACTAAATTGTCCTAATTTTAAAATGTATCTCTGTACCTCTGGAAACCAACAAGTTGTTATCGTTTTGGGTCAAGTCAAATCAGCTGTGTAGCCCATCAGATGAACGTCATTGTTTGTGTGTGCTGATAATGTCTGTTACCTGTTTCTCCAGAGTGTTTCTCAATGCTTTATCAATGAAGTTTGTGAAAAGGTTGTACAGCCAGCTGAAAGAACCGCCACCACAGGAATTAAGAGGGTAAATACAGTGCTTTCCACCTGCAGTCAGGACGGCCACAGCACGGCAGAACGCTCTTACCTGGCTCCACCGTGGAATTTAACGCTGACGCTGCCAACGTGGGCTTCACAGCTGACGCTGCTGACCGTGGGTCGGCCTGTCTCATCACTGTGGATGGCAATGCTCGTGCTGATGGCAAGGGCGTTCACACTCAGGTCAAATGAGCCACTGTCTTTTCTGTTTGAACACAGTAGCTGGGTTAATATAACTAGATTAATAATAATGCAATTGACAAAAACTGTATTGTGTCCAGTCAACACATCTGAACTGAAAAAAGAACAAAATACAATAAAATAAAAGTTCCAACCAAAATAATTTCAAACAAATGAAAATATTAGTCAATTAGCATTAAATTAAAGATTAAACAGATAAAAAAGACCTCAGAGAAACATTTCTCATTAATGAGCTCTCTTAAAATAGGTTTTCCTTCTATCTTGCTAACGACCCATTCAAAGTAGCTGTTAGCTCGACTATTATTTCAAGTAATAACCGTCAGCATCTACATTAAACCTCTGAAGAATTAGAATGAGCTCCTACAGAAGTAGTTCCTTGTCACTCACATGACTCTCAAATATTTGACCCTCCAGTTTCCATGCAGGTGGATGAAGGCGTCACCAATCGACAGTTTAATGCCAGTGCCTGCCACAGGGGTCACTGCAGACTTGGGCAAACCCACATCCACTATATTCATACTAGAATACACAAATGTCAGTTAGAAGAGATGCTTTGGAATTAAAAAAATGTATGAACATGTAGCACAGAAATATTTGATTGCTTTTTAGTTTTAGTTTTTAATAGGCCACTGAAACACTTAAAAGATAAAAACAAGTGTAGCTTGAAGCCTTTGTACATGAGTGTAGCTGAGGAGCAGCCTTACTTGGACAAGCTGTATTCCACTTTGCCAATAGGTGACACTTTCTGCTTCCCTGAAATGTCTGGGACTTTAATTGTCCTGAGTTTCTGCTGAATTGAAGAAATGCCCAGTTGCCTGCCTGAGAAGAGGAAAAACAGATCAAATATTATTACTTATTATTCATTTATTTTGCGCCGAAAGATAAATGCTCAGATAAACTCACCATATTCAAGGCCCTTTTGTGTCAGCCTAACCTTGACTCCAGGATTAGTGCCTAATGTAACAGGCACTACCACCACCAGGAGGAGCCAAACTCTTAGAGACATTGTGGCTTTGCGAAATAAAAAAAAGGGACAAAATTGTCAGCCACATCATTAAATTAACAAATACTCTGCTCTGGTCACACGGTGAAGAAGTGTTTATTGTCGTTGCCTTACAGCAAGTAGATAATCATTTGTTAGAGTTCTGTAGTTGCATTCTTAATTGGCCACTGGTGTGAATGTGAGTGTGAATGATTGCCTGTCTCTGTGAGAAGGAATCAAGATGACCGCTGCCCTTGTACCCTGACTTCCTGAAAATAATCACTGAGCAGAGATTGAATACGTGAATGGCGTGCTGCCTTGAATTTGCTGTTGTGATTTTCACACAAAGTTAAAACAGCTTTAGCTAATCAGAATTAGTGCTTTAACTGACATTTTATTGAATTTGTATTTGTATATACAATACCAAGTTAAACAAATGGGTTTTATAGTCATTTAAAAAATATATTAAAACACACATAAACATCATGTGAATATGGTAGAAACTTCAGAGTTTGCAGTTCTCTGTCTTGGCCACAAAAGTTGACCACTGAAAACCTGTTTGATTAATGAATATTTAAATGTTTTTCCAAACTGCTTATTTACATTGTTATTGATTTTTAAGGATGTTTACTAACGCAGCTATATTTGCTAGCGGTTGGCTATATTAAAGTTTAATTTCACTGCCTCATTTTTAGATGTTTTTGTCCAAAATTTAGTTCCTATCCAAAATGTTGTCTTGGCTGAAATTTAAAATCGTTGGACAGTAGACTTCATAAACTACTTTTGAAATATTTTTGACAAAACTAATTCTGGAAGAACTTTTTGGGTCAGGTTAAATAACCTGTTTTACTTTCTTTGTTTCTTTCTTTTTAGCTTTGTTGTTGTATTTGCAGAATTTTTGACATGGCAAGGTTTTTTCAAAGGCTACTTATAGGTAGCTACCTTTTGGTTACTTTTGATTTTAAAAATTAGATTTGCATTATTAACATATAGCACTTGTCTAAACTTTTGGCACCTTTTAGAATCATTTTTGTCTAAATATTGTCTGTAGCTACACTTAGAAAATAGTTTTCTAGGATCATAGCCTAAAGAAAACAGCAACAGTTATCTCACCTGAAGCAGCAGCAGCAGTTTGCTCAGACCAGTTGTCCTCTCCCACTGTGTCTCTGTCAGCCAGGGACACAGAGTGACAGGAACTGGAGACACATGACCAATAATTTACTAACTCAATCAGGAACTGAAAATGTCCACCACCATAAGTAAGGCTTTGTATTTAACTTTTGAATTCCTTGCCGACGTCTCTCTTGCAGTCTCTCAAACGAAACAAAAGACTGAGCAACGTTTTTTTTTATTTATTTACTTTCTACTTCCTGGTTTGAGTTGCCAGTAAGAATATGTACAAGGAACTACAACCAGCAAAAGGAGAAGTTGTGGCCTGTAATAGAGAACACTGTGATACATAATAAAAACATATAAAAAATAGAATAATTTCATATAGAAAAAACCTCTCTATTCAACTTCTGGCATTTTGATTTGTTCCCTATATTAAAATGTATCTAATCTTTTATATTGTCTTACAGTTTTCATATCTCTGTATCTGCCCCATGACACAAAGTCCAAACAAACAAAAATCTTCCTATCGTTTTTTATAACTCTATAAAGAACTATTAAAAAAACTAAAGTGATTTCTTAGAGCATAAGAATGCAAGGGAGAGGGAGGGCATTTCTGAACACAATTGCTTATCACAAGAGAGCATTAATAAATAAATTATTTAAATAATAAATTTCAAACAAAAAAAATATTTGCTGTAAAACACTTCTTATTTCTTAGAGCCATGGCTCGAATCAGGAATGTATTTAATTCACTGATACAGCGATACATCAGACGAGAAGATGGCCGATGTATCAGTGCACGCGCTTTTCATTTCGAAAGTTTCGTCACACTGCAGCTGCTGAGACTCTACTGACATCTGGTGGGCATATTTACACATGACCCATAATTACAGTTACACTTCCTTTTTTATCCTTTATCGTCCTATAAAACCCTGCTTGTTTGAATTGTCACGTACTGTTTCTATGTGAACTGCTAATGAACCATAACGAGATTCTTAAAAAAGCGATTTCAGCTCATTATGTTCTGTTTCTGTACTTCACCCAACACTGTACACTTGTATGGTTATGTCAACAGCACACATTCAAAGATCCAGTGGCTTCAATGTCCAATTAAGCAGGTGTTCATAGTGTTACTGTACTTTTCTTTTGAGCTGTAAACCTCCAACATTGTGATTAGAATTATACTGTGACACAATAGTTAAACTAAACATTCCATTATTCACCCATTTTTAAACCAAACATTTTAATGAAAAAAAAACCCGTAGTCCATAAATGAACAGTGAGTAGATCGAGACAACTTTCTGTCTGTTCTTCCTTCGGTACTTTGCTGAGGTCACTGTGACGCAGCTCTGTGACGCCTGATGACAGTGAAGCACAATATACCTGTCTGTTCTGTACGAAAGAGGTCGGAGATATTCTGTATCCACGGAGGAGGTGTTAGTGGAGGCCTGAGGATGAGTTCACACAGAGTTCAATGTCATTATTATGCTCCTGCCTGTAGGCTGTCCACAGTCAAACCTTTTCTCTACCATCACTGCTGAGTGTTAACCAAATCGTGTGCAGTGACTGAGTTTCAAATATCTTGATATGAGTTAGAGAACTGAAATAAATAGTCCTCTTGAACGGAACCATATAACATGTTTTAAATGAAGAAACCCTGATCATAGACCCCTCCTTTCCAATGACAAACACCAATCTAATTCAACCCCTTAGACACAGTAATTAGACATAGAAATAGCACAAGTATATATCAAGTAAATATTTCAAGTAAGTGTTAAAAGGCGTTACTTTAGTTAGAAAATAGATAAAATTCAGCTAGAATTGGTAAATATCAATTCTATATAAGCAAAGTATTTACCCACTGGCAGTCCAAAATATTCAACATATAGCTAACAGAAACATTAGCATAACTACAGTATGTAAGTTAGCCAACTAGTATATTGCATAACATTTTATTAATTTATTTGATGGCTAACTTTGTTTCTGTTAGCAGTGGATTAACATTTAGCTCTGAATTTCTTAGATATTCACCAGTTCCCAAGGTGTCTGTCCAGAAGAATTCTGGTCCTCAGATAAATAGTTGGTGACCCTTGGTTTAAATGATGCCAAAATCAGATAGCAACAACATTTTTGATACAAAAAAATTACCATTAAAGTTTAACATCGTTTAAAGTAACAAAAATATTTAAAAGAAACAAAACATGCTAAAGAGGCTACAATACACGATAACCAAACGGTTCATAATGACCAAGAAAGATTTACAACATTTAAATTTAAATTAAACTCCTTTCCAAACGGTTCTGTAATCTATTTCACAAACTGAACTCACAGCCATTTAAATCGAGCCCTCCTATGATACTAAATTAAAAAAAAATCAATATAATCCACATTAATTGTTGATTTATTTAATTAGTGAAACGCTTCAGTGAGTCAAATGATGCTCATTTCATTTACCTACTTAATTTTCCATTTTAATTATCTTGCTCCCTGAAAACGACTCCAGTAGGACCTTCTAGAAAAACTCAAGCAGTAATTTCTGATAATTGTCTGTCATTGTGTTTGTGAAGATGATTCACTCTTCATCATGATGCATAAAAACTGCTGAGAGGGGAGTTGTATTTCTTCTCCCCTCACTGCATCTGTGATTCTTTAAAGTTCTCTATAAAGACTATAAAACACATGATGCACTGCTCTCTGTCTTTATATTTTAATTTTAATATAAGATCGACTTTATATATATTATTTAATGTAATATATATCATATAAAATATATTTTATTGTAAAACATATACTATATTATGTATTATACAAGTACTATACCTATATTATATATACAATAACACAATTTTGCTAAAAAGTAGCAACATGAGTATAAGTAGGAATAATTGTTAGCCAGAAGATAGCTATAGGCTACCTGGAAACACTAGTAGAAATATCATTAGCATCTCCAGGTATTACCAAAGGTCTAGAGTTTGAACAACGCTACACATAGAACAGTTTCAAAACTGTTTCTCTGGAAATGATGATACAGATTTTGTATAAGTCTGTGTGGGAATGATACGTACTGAAAAAACATCACTAATTAGAAATTGTTAATCTGGAATTACCTAAAAAAGTACTAGTACAATTCTCAATAGCTATTGCAGCATAAATAGTTCAAGTTTATAGTTTATCATCCATGTACAGGCCGTCTATTATACATTAGAAAAATATGATGCCTGGTTTGAAGATGCCCCTGTAAATGTAGGTCAGTTAATATTTTATCACTTGCTGTGGGCTGATACTTGTTAACATACCACACTATGATAATACTATGGACACATTTGGTTTTTTGCCGCATTAAAAGTGAAGTGTCAGTTTCATTAGTTTAAAACACCATGAGACAAGAATATACTGTAGCCTATCAAAACTATGATGACACTACAGTAAAGGGCACTGGGGGTGATGAATAGAGGAATTAAAACAAAGACGTTCCAGTTCCATGGACATATTTCCCAGCAGAGACATTGTAAACTGAACACTGGATCTGCTAGACAGTGAGGTGCAGTGAATATTAAGCAGCCACTGGAGGGTGACCTCATAAAAAACATAAAGACTCAGACAGACGGAAAGATTGATTTGTATTGTGAGAATTGGCAGGACTTGCCCCAGAGTTCAGGGTACAGCTGGGGCTCTGGGCCAAAACAGAACAAAAATCGCTCTGAACATAAACTTCTGAAGGTTGGAAACTGAAAATGCCAATGATTATAGTTTTTGAAGTTTTCAAATATTTTTTGAACAAAGGAATCAAGAATCTGCAGGCACTGTGGAGCAGTGGCTCTATATTATTTTCTGTCATGCCCCCCTTTGGGGACAGAAATGTTTTTATACTCCCCTGCCTCCAACCTATTACTATTGAGAACCTGTGACTTGTATATTTTTATCTGTGCAAACCACTGTATGAGTTGCTGCCACCTAGTGACTGGAGGCTTGTTATCATTCCAGCATTCCAGCAGTGGTACACTTATGTCCAGAATGCCATATTCCACTGGAGGCCCCTCACCGTGCCACCCCACTATTTGAGAGTGGGGTGTCACTCTACAGTGACAAGGAAGTCACTGTAGAGTGACTTCCTCTTTTGCTGCACTGCAGGCAGGCAAGCCAATCAGACACATTCAGTCTATAAAACCAATGTTTTGTGGTAAATGAACGATAAAAACCTGAATAGTGTTGAATTTAAGCTTTTCAAAGACTTTAAGATCTTTAGGGTGGGGGCTAAGGGTGTAGGGGCAGGGGTGCAGCAGAACATGCACCCATAGGAGGAACAGCCAAACTCCATATAGAAAGATTAAAGATCAAAGCAAGAGTGGAATTTGCTTTCTTTTGTTTGTGTTTGTTTTGGCAACTTCTTGTCCTTCATTAGGTCTCCTAAATGTAAGTCAGACTCTGCAGATGTTTTTATGTCCTAGATTCCCAGGACCCCGTGTAAATGGTTGTTATGGTGAAACAAATGGATATCCACAGCCTGACTCATGTTTTTGTGTTCACTAGAATAATAGCTTTGTTTTGTTCTCCCTGATGTTCGGTCAGGGCAGTCCTCACTATCATGTACAGTGTAAACAACATTCTTCTCTTTGTGGTGCTACGTTTTGTTCTTTAGTATGAACCATTTTTTTTCTGATGATGTCACTGGGGTTAAAGTCAACTGGAATCTGATGTTTGTTGATGATAATTGAGTTTCACATCAGCATGTGATGTGTCTCAAAAATTGAATTAACACACGTATTCCAATGTGTTGTACATGTAGCCCAGTTAGATCATTTTGTGTTTTAACCACACAGGGACTATTAGTATAAGTAGCAAAGGGCATGGATAGATGCCCGGCGCCCACAGCTGCACAGTGTTGGGGCACACACATCCCTTCTCTCCGGGGCACATTGCTCCATTTATGCCCCACACACTGCAGCATTGATGGAAGTAGCTTCCTCATCTCAGTGCACCAGCACAGCATAGGTCAGCCAACACGTCTATGTATATCAGCAGAACATTCCATGCAAATGTAAATTTGCCTATAAACTCTGATTAAACAAACATCATGCCATGGCCAGGGATAAAGTTCAAGTACTGTAAAATACCTCTTGGATATCTTGAACAGATATTTAAGCATTATTTCTTTGTAAAGTGTTGAGTGCTTTGTTCAACATTCACATTTTTAAAAACCATTTTACCAAGCTTTAAGTGGAAAACTGAAAAAAATATTGAATCTTTGTGCACTATTGTTATTATATTTATAAATATAAATTATTGGAGACATGTTTTAAATCATTGGACTTCACCGTCACTGCTTCAATATTCTGACAATAATTACTGCCGTATTCCAGATAATACACATAATGATTAGTAGTCTTTTATAGTAACTACCAACAAAAATTAAGTCCAGAGAAGCACAGAAAAAACCCACAATCCTAATACCATGATCGACCCCTCTTTTAACCTTGAAATTTGCCCTTTGGACAACGAAAGTCATGTGTTGGTGGAAAAAATAAAGAGGACTGAGAAAAGGAGGAAATGGCCATGTCCTGGCCAGTAGATATCAGAGTGGAGAGAGGAGCAGACAGCACGGAGACAGGATGCTGCATCACTTCTGTGAGTCTTTTCAAAACAGTGTAAATCACTTGGACGAGCCCACTTTATCATTTCAGGCCAGATTTTGTCACAGTGGAAGAAAAATGGTTTGGACGTGACTGTTTTACACAAACAGATGGTAAAAATGCTAAATAGGAGCAGTGAGAAATGATATTAGAGAGGGATTATTCAGCAGGCCCTGCACAAAGGCATACAGAGATATTCTGCATGACCCAGTGGTTGGAGTAAAGTCAATACACCATGGAAATGATCCCATTTATTTGTAAAATTAAAAAAAAAAAAATATTTGTTTCATTTAATCGTTACATATTTATAGGATGTCTGTCTGGACGTTCTTATAAAATATAACACCCATACATGTCACAGGCTCTACATTAAAGAGGAAAATGATCAGGGAGATGAGGCAGGAACTTTTATTTACTGGAGCTCATATACATATAATATGGTTTCATGTCAATGGCAGCAGACAAACAATTACATTCTTTGCAAAACACAAAAAAATATAAAAAAAATAAAACAGTCAAGTCATTCCAAAAACTTTCACTGAAAAAAGAGAAACATTGCTTCACAGTTTTTAAAAAAAATTAAAATTATCTTCTAAACAACAAGGGGATATATATGTATATATATATACACACACACATTTATACACAGTATATATATATATAAATGTATTACTAATACAAAATAGACATATACATTACATTAGTATTGAAAACTAAATATGATCACACTGTGAGGTTAGCATCATGATTCTAATTAATGTGTACAGTAGAAGATGCTAGACACCCAGTACAGCAGCATAACTAAAGGATAAATCAGGTTCACCTGAGACAGCCCTACAAATAGGATTTATTTAAAAAGAAAGTTTTACAGTAAGTCTAACTTTGAATTTAAAGATGGTGTCTGCCTCCTGAATCTACATTGTCACCCAGTTCCAAAGGCGAGGTGTCTGGTAGAGTAACTGAAAGCTCTGCCTCCAATTTAGGAGGCCTGAATTTTCAGAGCGAAGTGTGATGTCATACGTCAGTGCTTGTTTTCCTGTCCCAAGATGGAACATAAAAGCAGAGCAGAATGGCGCGCGCTTTCACTAGGACACGTTATGCTGCCGGACCAGGAAGTGCAGCGGTGCAAACAGCGGTGAGTATGTGAGTAGTAAGATTCTGCCGCGGGTTGAATCGTGAAGCTGCAACAGGAGCTACCTTACTGTTCATTGTGATAATAATATAATAAATAAATGGATTCTGTCGGTGATGTACTGTGTTGTGGTTGTTTGTGTACGCTGTACGCAGCAGTTTAGCATACTGGCGTGCATGTGCATTGTGGGTAGTGTAGTTTATGTAGGTTAGGCGCCATTTAGACTGTTCGACTTTTCTTTACATAACATTATGCACAACAACGTATGCTTGGTTCAGGCTACACAGCAGAATTATCTTGTGAGAGAAACAAGCAACGAAGTCTACAAAACAACACTATAAATGAGCCACTCGATGGTGAAGAGAGGTTAATGTATCAATTTATTTAATAACTTTTACTTATCTATGTATTTACCATTTCAATTCAACTTTTGTATGTGGTTTGCACATTTACCTCTTTGAATATCTAATATATAAGGCTTTTAAATCAAGTTGAGGTTAGTTGGATAGAGTCTTTTAAAACAATCGAAATAGTCTTAAATAGTCTTGCTTATTTTTTTATTACTGTTTTGCATTTGTTCACTGTTAGCAGCATTTAATTCAGCTATTGGCTTGTGAATCACTTTAGTTTTTTGTTTGTTTTTTACTGCACAGGAAGTGGGGAGAAACAGACAGAGGCAGTTGGTGGGATCATGTAGGCTCTTTGTGATACTCCTGTAAGACAAAGCAGGCCTTTTGGTTCAGTGACCAGAGACTTGACAATAGAAATAGGCATCAATAAGCAAATACACTTTCTAAACAAACCCCCAAAACCACAACGAGTGAGTATCAATATTTTTAAGCAAATTCACAAAGAAGAAAAAAATCACAAATAAGCTGAACAGACTGCACTAATCGTAGAGGGCAGCTGCTGTAAATAAAGAACAGAATTGTTCATAGTACATGTAAAAACACGATGACGCATCCAAATTAGTGACTGTAACATTAGCTGAAAATCACATACCTCTGAAATTTGTGACATTAGAAAAGAGGTGAAAAAAGGTCAGTGTTTTCAACTGACCATATAATTTCTATTTAGCTAATCTTAGCCAATCTTTCTTATTTTTCTTTTTGCTATCTCCTCTCTGCCCTTTACTACATTTTTGTTCTCTTTGTATTTTTTTGTTTTTAGGATTTTTGTTAAATCATACAGCTTCTGGTCTAATCTGGTGTATGTGTTGGTTTATTTACATTTGTTATATATAATTATTTTAAAATGTTTTTATGTGCTTATTGAATAATACGGTTTAACATTTAATAGTTTTTAGCTAACTTCTAAGTAATATTTAATTTTTATGGCCCATAAAAATTAAATAATACTCTCCAACTAGTTTGCACATGAACTAGTTGGCAAGCGGAGTGGACAACGGCTTTGTTTTCATTCACTGGTTGTACGTTATATATTGGATTTTGCTACATTCACTTTCTTTAGTTTGGTTTTCTTTCTGGAACTTTGTGCCCTTCATCATGGATTTTGGGACTGACATGTGGGGCAGAACATAAAATTAAAATAGTTAAATTTCTTTTGGATTTTATAACATTTTTTTTGTTTGACCTTCCATTAGCATTTTGTCAAATCTGTTACTGAGCGTATGACACATCTAAAGCAGATCTAGTTCAAAGTCAACAAGCTGTCTGTTACACACCATAGTGCAGTGCCCTATACAGTATCATTTACAGTTTCAGGCAGGTGAGATAGTGGTGACCTTGAATGTTTCTGCAAAGAATTATGTTAATTACTCCATGTAGAAGCCTGCCTTTGTGAATCAGAAACAGCAGTTAATACAATCAACACTAGAAAGCTGTGATCAGTGACTAATTACATCAAAACCCTGCCTGTTTGAACAGTTCATTAGACACAATAGGGAGCTGATACTATTAGCATAATGCAGCAGCTTCAGTCAGTCCTGTTTGCAGTCCTGCCAAATAATCACATCATGTGTCTTAGGTCAGGTGAAGCAGTGGTGGCAGTAGTAGGGGTGGGGTCTTTAGACGTGTGCCTGGTTAAACGGTGTACTAGGTGATGAAATCAAAGGGTTTTTGCCTCCCTGACGACAGAGGAAGAAATAATAGCAGCCCCTCTGATGTAGACTGAGCAGGGGTGTGTGAATATTTCATTACAGAATGTAGGAAAGCAGTGACATAAATTGGCATGTTTTCACATTTAAAAAAACATAAAAATTTAATATATTGCTTGTTGCACTAGGGGTGTTTTTCTTACAACTTACAACCCAGATTAGTGCCATATATAAAGAAGTTTGCTTTGGCTTTGTTGTTTTCTTGTTTTTAAAAATTATTTGTTCGAAAAATCAACAAATATCAGTTTAATTCCAGGCTTATATTTATATTTATAAGAGTTACTTTCTGATGAAAATGTATGTTTATTAATGTAAAAGTGGTGTGTATTTTAATTCTCACTTCTAAAATTTTAAATTAAGGCAATTATTTCATTCATCTCCTGGTGCTTGGTACTTTTCAGGGATGCAGGGGAGCTGGAGCCAATCACAGCAGACCGATTAGGGCCAATCATTGGTCAATCACAGGGTAGTACCTGAAGTACACACAGGGAGAAGATGGATACTGGAACCTAACCCTATGTTAGCTGCAAAGTAAGAACACTTTCTACCCTTGATGAAACTGAAACATTTTAAACTAATGATACACACGTTTTTCTGATGCTTTTATTTTTCACTGTGTTTGGTCTTTATTGAAAAAGTTAAAATTAAGCAAATTCCAACAGATAGATCCAGACAGATTTGAACATTTCGTGCTCCAAGCGACCTTGTGACTTTGGCCTTGTGTGACAGTAATCTGTCAGTCTTCAGTCTTTATCTCTGGTGGTACAGTAGGACTCCAATACTGACAGCCTGGATCCTGGTCTACAGAAATAAATAAAATACTGTTTCTAGATAAACGCACTGTCCCTAAAACCATTGCTGCAAATCTCTCAATTAACTCTGGCAAATAAAGCAGATCTACGACCTTATCACATTCAGCAATAAGTCACTGACTGGCTGACTACTGATGGACTGGGAGGTTGTTTCCTCCCATGATCGTATGTCATGACACAGCCCTAAGCGAATGCAGCAGCTGCTGCGGAAACACTGAGACGTTGTGTCACCTTCTTGGCATTTTTATACACTTTGAGCACTTGTTGACAGAGACGGGGTTTTTTTTTTGTTCAGGTGAATTAAGTTTGTGTCATGTCATGTTAGGCTTAACGCTGTCATTCCCCACCTGCACGCGCCGCGGAGAGTGTTGCACGCGCTGCCTGTGCGTTTTCCTTCTGCCTCCCTGCATCTGACAGCGTCCCTCCTCCTTCCTTATTACTCCTCTCTCTCTCCCTCTCCCTCTCTCCCTTTCCTTCCTTCTCTCTCTTACCCTCTCTCTCTCTTTAGGTTTTTCGCCGGCTAATCACAGGCGCACTCCCTTGCATTCTTTCCCGGGGAATAAACATAGCGCAGCAGCCGGAGCAGGACTAACCTTCCCGCGGTGCGCACCTCCCATGGTTCTCCGCTGGATGCTTGTCTGACAGGAGGGTAAGTAGAAAACCGTTCCCCCTCCCTGGTCACTTTTGCTTGAATAGGCTCAGTCTTGTTTGTGTTGTTTGTGCGTGGAATGAATTTGTTGAATGTCAGGCATTGACGCTTATATGGTACGTGCTGTATTTGTTTATAACAGATATTTAGTTTCCGCTTCGTTCAGTCCCGTGTGTTTGATTTAGCTGCAGACACAGAGGGGAACATACAGGCTCTCAGCCGCTCTTTACACCATCATTTCATGTCATAGGGCTCGGATTTTGCCCACTTGCTTGACGCGAGGATCTCAGTCGGAAGATGGATTATGCAGTGGCGTACACACGTTTTAGGGGTTCATGTGATCTAGTGAAGAAGACCCAGCATATGATTCTTATAGGATTCCTCATCTTAAATTCGAGAGTCCATCACAGGGCTACCTAAAAAGACAAATGACCATCTACACACGCTGTAGAGCAGAGCTTCTCAACCACTAGGGCCTTAGAAGATGTCATGCCATGAGTCACTCAGTACAGGCACACAGGGGAAAAATACATCACATTATTTGCATTGTATTTATTGTTAGTGCTAAATATTTTATTTTGAAAAACGACCTGATTCAATAACAATTACAAACACATTTTGACACATGCTTGTCAAAATAAAAGTCTTTGGAGAGCTTACCAAATGCTCACAGAGGACATGGAAAAAGGGAAATTTACATCATAGTATGTTTTTTCTGCACTTTACATTTGTTATAATATCAGTCTTTTATTTTTCAAAAATCAATTTGCTGCTTGTTGACGTGGGAATATTGTCTTATTATTTAAACCACTGGCACCAAAATAGCTATTGACCTGTGTCCTGAAGTATCAGTTACTATCAGTCAGTCTTAATATTTCAAAGCTCATACAAATGTCCATTCACATGCTTGGGATTTACCTTGATGAATATTTTCATATAAATAAAAGCAGTCATGTTGAGTTTTTGGTGGCGTCACCAGGGACATTGTCCTACATGTGTTTCTTGAAATTGGGTGTGTGTGGTTAAAAGAATGTAAGAACAACAGACCTTGTTCAGCACTGTCATTAAAAGGTAAAGAAGTAGTAATAGAATTATCTTAGCATAATGAGCACAGGTGGAAGCCAGTTATTATTTTATTTGAGTTGTTGCTGTAAAGTGTTCAAATAATTGCTTTATATTTCTGAATGTTAAACATTAAGCCTGGCATAACTTGAATATTTTAGTTAAAAGTTTTGTTGGTCAGATAAAGTAGTTTTTACTGTTATGTGATATTACTATTTTTCCAGGCAGTTGCAGAGACATTGATAGTCAGGTAGCAACACCACCACATGGTAATTAGCATGTATAGCATTTCTGGTATGCTGTTGTAATGTTTGACAAAACACAATTATTTTGAATATTATTTTTTTTAATCCATTTTATTGATGGAAGAGTTGTTGCAGTCTGTTTAGGTTCGATATTTCTGCTGAGGCCGTTGTCGACATGACTGTTTAATGAATGTTAAACCTGTTCAGCCCCCAACTTAGACTGTGTTTTAAATTTCCGACCCTTAAGAGATTGACTTTGACACTCCTCTTCTAGAGACTAGTGATCGTAAAAAGAATGTGCTTTGTGTGAACATGTTCGAGCCAGCGGTCAATACCCATCCATCACGTGGGTATTGCCAGTGGTAATGACACTGGCAATGGTTTAAGCACATAGGAAGAGCTCTGCTTCTCTCTGGAGCTGTACGCCTCAAATAACAGTATAACAAATATCTTGAAATGTAAACCAACTTTTGGTGCCCCAAACCCAAAGACGTAATTCTGGACTTAAATAATGTAAGAATTGTGTTTTAAATCAGTGATTGTCAAGATAGGGGCAGCAGAAAATTGGAGGAAAAAAATGCAAAAAACAAACAAACAAAAAAAACAACCCAATGAATTAATTTTTTATAACCGTTTGACATATACTGTACCTTATTGTCATAATCATCAGATTCACACATGTGACAGCTGCAACTTCAGCTGTCCCTGGCTAGAAGCTTGTTTGGCGGTCCTTGGCAGGGAAACGTTTGGGAACCAAGATGACATGAATGGTTGAAATTATTTACTTCAAAACTCACACAGCAGGCGACATAGATGAAATAAATGGGCAAGAGGAGTGGAGAGGTTTTTTTATCCAGTCAGATGGCAGAGGCCTGGAATGAAGTATACTTTAGTCACTGTTGGCATCAGGGCTTTAGATTTGAGTGCAGCTGTTCAAATGATAAAACCCTTCCCTTGGGTTTTTTATCTCTATCTCTTTGTCTTTTTAACTTCTTGAGCAGCCACACATAGCCATGTGATGGTCTCAACAACAACTGAAAGTTGACATCACTGTCAACTTTCAGTTTGGGTTATGCAAATCTTGTTTACAGTCACTTCTCACTCTGGAAATCATGCCACTGCTGCTGCTGTGTGTTTTGTTTTACTGTTGTGCTATTGGCTTAGGCTCCATATTCTCTAACACACCCTTCACTGTAATTATGCAAAATGGAACCACAGTCAAAAACACTGTGAGCTGTGCCTTTTTCACCAAATCTCTGTTTAGTTTAGTTTGTTGTGCTCCTGCTTGTGGTAAACTGCTGACAGTGACTCAGCTGTCAGTATGTGACTTTGCCCGAGGACTGATGTTCAGATATTCGGCTGCAGAAGTGCAACAACAGCTCTTCACCTGCTTCCCTACTGCACGCTCAGACAAGTCCATGTATGTAACAGGGTTACTTCTGCCCAGTCGCACAGCCAATTGCCAGAATTCCATTCAGTATTGAAGAGCACATTGTCAGCAATGCCCGGTTTTCATTAGGTTGTCACTGTAGGACTGTCTTTTGTTATTGTTAAGCACTGCACCTCTCTTACTGCTTAGCCTAAATGTTTATACCACCTGAGAAATGGCTCAGGTTGTTTTCAGGTTTGGTTGAATGAAGTGCCTTTTTCATGCAACAAACCCTAACATGGCTGCTTTCTCAAGAGTGAAGAGATTGTTGCCAGAGGGGACATGAGGGTAAACAGAATTTATCCACACTAATTAAAAAGCCTGTCTAGTTAAATTTGTGTTTGCTTAAGTCTACATTAAATGATCTGGATTTTGCTAGCTTTTTGAATGCCTGAAAACGACAGCATCTAAGCACTTCAGTTACACAAACTCCATGGAGAAATTTAGCATTGTGAACTCTTAACAACAACGGAGCTGCTAGTCTGCTGCTTTCTTGTCTTCTGTATTACAGTGACATTATGTTGGTTCGCTAGTGGCTAGATAACAGAAGCAAATTTCTGGTCTGTTTTTGGTCTGCAAATGTGACTCTAAGGCATCTGGACAAGAGCATATGTTGTTAGAACCTGCAGCGTTACCACTCTTCAGTTAAGTGAAAATATTTGGTTTGTGGGTGGACAGTTGGATCTATATAATTTATATTAGTTTAAACTATCAAATGTATTAAAAGCCTATTCAACAGTAGTACTGCCAATTCTTTCCAAGAATCAAGGTCAACCGTGGAAGATATTTGGACATCTTGCATGCTATGATTCTGAAGGGAGTTAAATTTGAATGTTTTTTTGTTTGTTATGGTTTGTCGTTACGCTTCCCTTTTTTTTTACACCTGCGGATGGGTGTTAGCTATCACTTTTGCATAGGTACAGTTGTGATAAAAAAATTAATGGAAACAAGAAGATGCATGTTCTAAGGGTCTGTGCTTGTCAGATGCATTTATGTTTTATTTGTGAACCTGGAGGAACATTTACAAGGTTTCTAACCAATTATTTGACACCGACTTGTTTACTGTTCGCAAATCAATTAAATTTAAGATAAATTTAAATTCGTATTCCGAAGTTCAAAGAGTAGTACAAATTCCAGAGAAAGTCCTTTGGCATTGCAAAGCTCATCACACTCTCACATCAGTCTGAGCCAGTTGCTCAGGCAGAAGTCTGACTTTCTACCATCTAAATGCCACCTGATGCTTCTTACCTTTTCCTGACAGGCAGGCAGACTTTCTAATCATGCTAGCGTTCAAGTTTAATGCCCTAGTGTGTTTTCTGATTTCTGAACTCATGAACCATGCTTCCAACATTTTCCATGCAAAAGAGCACAAATATGAGACCTCTATGGCAGCCGAGCCTGTTCCTCTTTGTTGTTAACTTTGCCACTGCTTATTGATCAGTGTGTCAAAATAATAGAACAGTCAGCATTTGTCTTTTCTTTATAAAGAAAAGACCAACAAGACATTTGGACGTGTCTGTAACAATTTCATAATCATGCTTACATCAATGGAGCCCAAGTGCTGGAGTCTAAAATGAAAAATAATGGGACGATCACATTTCTCATTAAGAGAGTTTTTTTCCAAAAAGGGATGAGGAATTACACCAAGACATTTGATCGACAAACATTTGAAATTTCCCATTCGTGCATGTTATTTCTGAAAGGGCTGCTTCACTCCAGACAACCAAAGGTGTTTTGACATTACAGATTAGATAACAGACTGCAAGTTTAGAACAAGTAGAACTGTAAACTGCACATAAGCTACACATACATTAAAGAAAAAAAGTGGCAAAAGTATAGCCAGAAATATCAAAAGTTTCTGAATAAAAAGTAAAAAGTTAGATAGAAAATTATCCAAGCATAATAAATGTTAGTAAATTAAAGCCTAATAGAAATGAAAACCTAAATTAGCCAAAGATAAGGCTTTAGTAATTGGAAGTAAGCTTACTCATGTTACATCGCAAACCAATGCTCCTATACTAAGAAATATTTGATTAAACATTTACTCTTGTCAATACTTATACGATGTTTTACACATGCCTGCTATCTCTTATGTTAACCACAGTTGTTATAGTCATCACTGGCTATTGCTGTTATAATTTCAGTACAGCGGTTGATCAGTATTTATGCTGAAGCTTTGTGTTTCCATTACCTCAGTGTGCAGGGACCTCATTTCTTTCCGTCTCAGACCCTCTTTTCCAGGCTCTGTTCACCATAGGCAAAAG